ATAAAAAGGGGGGGATGTACTGTCCTCCCCCCGAGGTCCCCACCCCTGGGCTGCGGGTGGGGGCCCTAAGTCAAATTCCCCCCCCCCATCAAAGGTGACTAGGGGTCCCCAAACCCCTTGTCACCCACACCCCCACCCAAATAAAAAGTATCCTACCTACCCCCCTCACCCTAAAAAATAGTGAGGGGGGAATAACATTACTAACCTGTAAAGTAAAATTAAACTTACCATTCAACATCTTCTTTTTTCTAAAATCTTCATTTTTCAGCCCCAAAAAAGGCCAAATAAAAAACCATTATAACCGTCGAACTTAAAAGCTTTTATAAATGTAAGTGATTTTCCATATTCACTCCACCCAAATGTCAAGTTATACTCCACTAGACATGTGCAAATCGTTTCGGTCCGAATATGAATTCGGACGAATTTCTGGCAATTCAGATATTCGGGTACTTCCAAATGTCCGAATTGCCGAAGTTCCGAAATTACCGAATTTCGAAATACAGTATTGCCTAAGTACTAATATACTTACCCAGTGAAAGAAGAAGAATGTTACATTGTATACAATTTTAAATAAAAATTATACATAGTCCAGGATTCAGCTGTAAGCATTTGCAACACTTACAACATTCAAGTAACATACATTCATATATAATGTAAGTTACTTAGCCAGTCAATGTAATGACTGGAATGAATAAGTAGATAACTCCCTAATTCCCACGATATTAGGGAGCTATCTACTAAAAGGCTGAAAGATCTGAATTGGTCTTTCAGCCAAATTTACTAATACTAAGTAAAGATTAGGGGCATGTCTATTAAACAGTGAGCGAGTAGGGGCATGTCTATTAAATAGTGAGCAGCCTGTGGCCCCCCCCAGCCCCCACCCCTGAGCGGTGGGTGAAGGCCCTACAGTAAAATAAGGGGGGGACCTAATGTCCTCCCCCTGGCCCCCACTCCTGAGCGGTGGGTGGGGCCCTAAATTGGAATAAGGGGGGAACCTAATGTCTTCCCCCCTGAGCGGCGGGTGGGGGCCCTAAATACTAATAAGGGGGGACCTAAGGTCCTCCCACCTGGTCCCCACACCTGAGCGGCGGGTTGGGGCCCTAAATACCAATGGGGGGACAAGACTTATTTACTGCTTAAATCTCTCATTGTTTGTTACATAATTATCAGTAGATGTTTTACTCATAAGAAAGAGTTGAACAGGAGTGGTGTACCACTCTTTGTACACCTGTTCTTCGGAAGTGACACACACGAATACCCTGACAGCTTCCTTCCAGATGCTCTGCCAAATCCTGGAGCCCCTCCTTCAGTTCCTGCTCCTATTGGTTATAATGTAACGAGCAAAAATGCCAATTTCAAAAAGACAATGGTAAATTCAGCAGTGACATAAAGCCTGCATTTGAAAGGTAGAGTGTAAATGAAGTGGGCCTTTACAAACCATGTTACGGCTACAACATACATCTTGAATTCAGGTACCCCTTTAAAATATGCCACCCTAATTCTGTCCTCTCACCCCATGACCCTATAGTCCACCTAATATAAACATAGTGGTGACATACAAAAAAGAATGATCTTGTTAAAATGTTGGTCTCGTAATGTGAATATAGCCACATTACTGTGTTTATCATATGACTATCACCAATACTTATACATTTGCCAGTTTGCCCTCTTTCAAACAAAGACTATTTGGGGTCTTTAGTCCATATTTTGCAGAGATGTGGGCATTTAAACATCTGCCCACTAAGCTACTAGGAATAAGTTCTTTAGTTAAAGGGACATTCCACTTCCCAAATACAAAATAAATGAAAATGACTGTTTAGTAGATTTATACCCATGAAAACGTGCATGCATTTAATTATGTATTGTTTCATTGTGGATATATCTAAATTCAGCTTACAAAACCTGCAGTTCTCTTGTCTGCTGCCTTTGCAAGCGCTCCACTTTTAACCCCCCTCCTGCCAAGACTCTCTGTGACTGTCCAATCACAGACTTCCCCATACAGCTCAATGTGAAGTCTTTGAAAGACAGGTGCTCTGAACAATTGCTGCCTCTTCAGGTTAGCTGCATTGAACTAACGAAACCAGGAAGTAACATTATCTATTGTCTGCTTGAAAGTCAAGGGGGTGTAACCTGGTTAATTTATATGTGTCAATTTCTATTGAAATCTGCACTGTTTGCAAAATTAAAAAAAAAAGAGGACACACTCTTCACACATAAAGCTTTTCAGAAAGCTAAAGTTGCTTTGGAGTCTGGAGTGTCCCTTTAAATGGTCCCTTGATAGTCTTGGCATTTTATGTGGATCTAATCTGTGTGTTGAGTTATCTCTTATTCCTCATGTCTTAAAACGTTTGTGATTCAAGTGTTTTAAGTTCAGAAATATGAAGGGTTTGCTAGTCCAGACCTCCGTGCTGGAGTGTGGAACAGGGAGAGCTTTAAGACAAATTCTCAGTAATGAAAAGGTTGAAAAGCTAACTTTGACAACAATGTTTAAAATGCAAATTTCACCGGGGAAGACTGTGATCAACAGCCCCCTCCGCTGGCCACTCAACAGACTTCAAGAAAGAAGGTAGAATGGAACACAGATTAGTACACTGTACAACTGATACAGTTAGCAATGTATGTGTGACATTGCTTTACTCAAGTGAACATTCGCAAAAGGAACCAAAAAGTAAGTGCTGCTCATATCCCTAAAACCAAAAGAAAAACTTTTTACACTTTACACAATATACTAGTGTGCCAATATACTTCATTTATTTCATATGTCTTCAGCTCCTTTAACCCCTTAAGGACCAACTTCTGGAATAAAAGGGAATCATGACATGTCACACATGTCATGTGTCCTTAAGGGGTTAAAGGCTTGTGCAAGCTACAACAGCATTCTACAAAGCCAGCAATACAAAACATTCAATTATCACAAAAGTGGAACGTGGATGCAACGAAATGGCACAGAAGTACCAGGTATTCAATTATCTGGCAAAAAGTTATATATATATATATATATATATATATACACACACAAGTAAGGCTGCACTCCATGGTCTTCTTAAAAATCAAGGTACTTTATTAGATATGCATTAAAATTATCAACGTTTCATACCCACGTTGGGCTTTCCTCAGGATCAAAAAATATAGACACCAGTGGTGTCTGTATATTTTTTGATCCTGAGGAAAGCCCAACGTGGGGCTGAAACATTGATCATTTTAATGCATAGCTAATAAAGTACCTTGATGTTTTTAAGAATCGTGGAGTGCAGTCTTACTTGTGGATACTCTATTTGAATCAGCCTGCAGGCTTTGGCACCCGGCAATATTAAATATAGGATTTTTTTGCTATATATATATATATATATTTAAAATTCTTCTTTATTTAAATTTGGAGGTAGAAAACACACATAAAACATTGTAAAATTGTGTGTGTATATATACACATCATGCTTGTATCATCAGATAAGATACGTTATCTTCTTATAAATGTCATACATCCAAATATTGCAATACAAAGACGTGGACGTTACAACATATAACCATTTATATTTATTAAAACATCTCTGTGCCAAACAACAAAGTAATATAGAAGACAAAAAAAAAATCCCAGACGTGTTAGGTGTCTAGGCACTTACTAATACTTACTAACAAACCTATTTTATATATTGTACAATAATATACATACATAACAAGACAATGTCAAATTGATTGTCAGATAGAATACATTTTACTATAAAATTAAACACAAACTAAAAAACATTTACATAAAGGATCCTAAAACCTTTTATGTGTACATACATATGTGATACTGTGCGCCCATACTATAATGGTAAAATCCTAGAAGGGGTCTTCGTGCAGTGTCCAAGGCCCTTTAACCCTGAAATTGTAATTATTGCAGTTTTTAATAAACTGCAATACTTACCTTGCAAGGATAACTTCACCTGGTAGACAGCCTCTAGGGGCATTTCCAGGTCCTTAAATTTAGTCTGCTACATGTCGCTGGGCATCCTCACGCTTTGCATGAGGACATCCAGCGTCACCAGCATCTTAATGTGATTGCGGCAGATCCTAACCCAGCGCCGAGGGACATTTCGGTGCGGGAATCAGGTAAGTGATAAAGCGGTTTTTAACCCCTTCAGCACGACAGGGATGGGATGGGATGGGAGGGATGGGAGGGGGGGGAGGGGGCACTATAGTTTCCATTTAAAATATTTTCACCGAAATGCTGCACATACAGTGCCCTAACATCAGGGTATTTTTTGTATATACATATATATATATATATATATTTTATATCATAGATATATATTTTGTATATTTTTACCCTTAGTTTGGTGTATTTGCAGGTGTACAAGAACTTATAAAATTCTTATAAATATGCAAGTTTATTCACTAAACTCAAACTGTTGTGAATTATAATCAATATGGCAAAACTGAGGCAAATATGGCTGATCTGGAAAATACTCAGCTCAGTTATTGTGATAGCTTCCTATCTTTTAATTTTGCTGTTATATTTTTTTTTAAATTCACTACATGTGGGAGTTTCATTATAATAAAAATAAAAATAAAACACACACCCACACACAGTATAAAGAACATCAATTTTCAAACTGATACTATGACTAAGTGATATATTATTTTCCACTTAAATGCAATTCGTATAGAGTTATTCACAAATATGAGATTCAAAGTGAATTTCAAATTTAAGGCATCAAATTCATTTTTATTTCCCTGCAATTCTCACTTCATTGAATAACCCTGACTGTTCTCAATGAGCTGTAAAAATGGTCGATAAAGCAGCCACCAGGGATTAATGGCCACAAATAATCAGAAAAGTAGATGGGGATTTTATCAAGGTATAACAGGTACTATTCTAGGTACAAAGAATGCTGAGGCATTCTTATAGTTTATTTATTTAGCACTTTGCCCCAGAGGTCGACCTGCGTAGCCTTGAAAAATCTCCCCCTAGGTTACTATAGCACATAACCTGAAAAAGACCTGGTCACATGATCTACAGAACAGCTAGGGGAGTCACATGACACGGCTTGTTACTTATGATTTTAAAGGCCCTACTGCACAACAGGAACTGCTCGTGTTGGTGAGTAAGAGATCTGAACATGTGAATGATAAATGGCTATGAGGGTCACTAAACAGAAATTTTCTAAATAAATGATGTGCAATTGCGTACAAAATACTTGGACAAATAAAATAAAATCCAAACCATATAAATTATTTTTAAATGAGTGCTCAACCAGAGTGATATTTACCAGAAATATGTCATAAAGTACCTCCATATAAATGTATAAATGACCAGTAAGATCGATATATGTGAAACATACAAACTATCAAAGTGTTCCCATACAGAAGGGACAGTTCCTATTTTGGGTTCAACTCCGACTGTCTCTCATTTCTAGTAGATCCATATTGTTGGTGTGTATGACTGTGTATAACAAAGCTCCACAGCAATAATACTTTATTAGTAACATTGGAGTTAATAGTTTTATGCCAAAATAACATTTCCCAAATATCAGACACCATAAAGTGGCTCTATAAGTACCTAGACCACTTCATCCCAATAATGTGGTCTGCCCTTGTTGTTTTAACCTTGCAACTCAAAACATTACTGTTTTTCAGGAATGTCAATGTTTACATCGTAGGATTAACCCCGTAATGCCGTTAGGGCGTGCTATGCTGTCCTGAAAAAGGACACCTTTAACGCCATTAGTGCACATTATCATGCTGTAATGATCTACACCCCACCCCATCCCCAGGTGGCATACCCACCTTCCATGGCGATCACGTTTGGGGGACTACCTAACAGCAAATCCCGCCCATCTGCATCATATGATCTCAATGACACCGTGATCATATATCTCGGATCGACAGATTACTGCCTGCATTGTCAGGCAGGTACTTAACATAGAATTAGTAAAACAATTCCATTATGCATACAAAAAACACATTTGGAATCAAATTAAAATTTTATATATATATATATATATATATATATATATATATATATATATGAAAATGTCATTCTAAGTGTATTTTGATAATTATATATAGTAATATCACAATACACTTACTATACTTAGAATGAATATATATATTGGAAAATGTATTCATACCGTAATTTTCTTTTCCTGGCTATTATTCATGGCAGCATATACACATTGGTTAGCTCCTCCCCTTACAGCCGATAGGACAGGAAAACCACCAAGGTTTTAAAAGGAGGCTCCATCCCTAAGGTCCTCAGTCAGTTTACAAGCTCTACAGTACATAAATAGAGACTTTAATGGGTGGGAAGTATATGCTGCCATGAATAATAGCCAGGAAAAGAAAATTACGGGAAGTATGAATACATTTTCCACTTTCCTGGCTAATCATGGCAGCATATACACATGGGGAATACCCAAGCTTACAAAGGGAGGGACAGAATAGCCAATCAAATAAACAGAATAATTTAACATAGATAGAAGAATGAACTGAGTTAAATACTTGAGTACCAAATTGTGCATCATAGACTGTTTTAACGAACAGTATGAAATGCCAGACAAACGTGTCTAAAGAGGTTCAAATGCTAGCTTACAAAAAGTGTCAGCAGAAACCATTGCTATGGAAACCCACGATGCTGCCTCCAGCACAGGTAGAGAACGGACGTGACGTCCAAATTGTGCCTCATTAATTGCTTCAATGTCCAATATGTAATGCAGGACAAACTAGTTCAAAGAGGTCCAAATGCCAAATTTACAACGTTTCAGCAGAGACCATTGTCATGGAAGCCCACTAGACGCTGTAAAAGCACTAGTGGAGAATGCCCCAAAATCCTTTGGTACAGGTAGAGAATGGCATTGAAAGGCTCTCACTTTAGGCAGGATCTCTGGTGCTACATGCAAGACAACCATATTCTGTTGAAATTTAGTGAATGGGGGTACACAGGATCAAATAGTATAACAAAATATGCACACAAAATGGAGGTGAATGGATAGAAAACTCTAACACCTAAAAGTGGTATCCCCTACACCACTTAAAAACAAATAGTAAATAGAAAAAACAGTAGTGAAATAACCACCAAGAAGATAGCAATAAACAAGAAAATAAACAATAGTGAGAGCACTCAAAAAATAAATAAATATTACCCAAATTGACAGTCATAATTCTCTGAAATGAAACAAAGTACCTGAAGGTACCTTATACAGGATACTAAGGTGGAGTGCCCAGCTGAAGTCTACTTTGTTCAAGGCATGCAGTTTAAGCCAGCTTATTAACCCCTTAAGGACACAGCTTCAGAAGCTTGACTTACGCTTAATGACACAAGCAATTTTTGCATTTTCTTGCTGTTTGCGTTCAACTGCAATTTGCATCTCTCTCATTTATTGCACCGACACACATTATATACTGTTTTTTAAAGGACAGAAAGGGCTTTAATTTGATATAACATATAGATATATAAATGCTTACTTATTATAAAAAAAATACAGAAAAATGCAAAAAAAATGAAAAATATTGGTTTTTTTTACAGTTTTTGCAATAATAATGTGTGCATAATTAGTGCAGGTTAAGGAAAGTAATTAAAAATAAATTTATTTATTTGTTCTGATTTACAGAATATATAATGTGTCTGGGATTTTAAGTTTTTTTGGTAGTTACAGGTCACAAAGCAAGGGAGTAAAATAAACTTTTTAATGTGGAGCGATTTTAGAATTTGGTATGTTTGTCTTGTAAGCTTAATAGCCATAAAAGAAAACAAAATTGCCACACAAAAGTATATATTTATATAAAGTAGACATCACAGGCTATTTACCTAAGGTTATTTTGACACTTTCTACGTAGCCATTTCACCGCCAACCTCTGCTACATATTGGAGTAAAATTGTGGTTCTTTTTGGTTTTTGGCACACAAACTTATAACAGAGAAATTCTCGTGTATATTTTGTAAATTGGTGTGTGCTATTCCTGTACAAAGTTTTATTTTGTGTTCAGTTCTGCTGAGTAAAATGACACCCCCATTGTATGTCTTTTGCAATGAAGTTAAGTGCCTATACCTGTCCTTTTCAGTATTCACAGTATTTTGAGAGATGGATTTAATGAGCCTTAGCTTCCATTTTGGGGTATTATAACAGTTTGACTGTTCAAAAAACCCCCACAAAGGCCTACCATTTGTAAAAGTAGACACTCCAGGGCTATCTTATAAGGTGCATATTGTGCCTTAACATGCCCCCAGTTTTTTCACCAATATATGCCAAAGTATGTGGTAAAAAATAATTTTGTGCATTTTTTACATACGGATTGCATTTTTGCTGGGCGTTTTGTATATTTCATATGTGCCACTAAGTTCAAACCCCCAAATTATGCTCAGCTAAGTCTTCTGAGTAAAATGACACCCCATATGAATGTCTTTGGCACTATTTCGTGAAGCTACAGTGCCATATAGGAGACCTGTCCTTTACAGTATTCACAGTAGAATTTTGAGAGATGGATTTAATGAGCCTTAGCTTCCATTTGGGGTATTATAACAGTTTGACTGTTCAAAAAAACCCCCACAAAGGCCTACCATTTGTAAAAGTAGACACTCCAGGGTATCTTATAAGGTGCATATTGTGCCTTAACATGCCCCCATTTTTTCACCAATATATGCCAAAGTATGTGGTAAAAAAATAATTTTGTGCATTTTTTACATACGGATTGCATTTTTGCTGGGCGTTTTGTATATTTCATATGTGCCACTAAGTTCAAACCCCCCAAATTATGCTCAGCTAAGTCTTCTGAGTAAAATGACACCCCATATGAATGTCTTTGGCACTATTTCGTGAAGCTACAGTGCCATATAGCAGACCAAGCCATATCCGTTTTTACCAAACTTTGAATTTTGACGCTGGGCCTTGTGCAATTTCCAAGCATCTTCGCAGGTTTTAAATTCAAACTACCCCACAAAGGCCTACCATTTCTTAAAGTAGACACCCCAGGGTGTTTCAAAAGGTATAGTTTGAACCTTAGCGTGGGATCATTTTTCCGCTAGCTTGTACCAGATGTAGTGGTAATAAGCGTTTTTTCTGCCTTTTTGACATACAAAGTGAGTTTGCACAGTATATTTTGCAAACCTTATGTGTGCTACGACTGTATAATACTTCATATGTTGCTCAGCTATGTCGGCTGAGTACAGCAATACCCCCGTATGTACCTTTGCCAGGTATGTGTGGACATCGGAGGGGCACATTTGGGACACAGCCATTCCAGTTTTTTTCAAACTTTGAATTTTTATGCTGTGCCTATGTCCCATTTTAGAGTATTTTACCAGGCTATATAATCCAAATTCCCCATAAAGCCATACCATTTCTTAAAGAAGACATCCCAGGGTATTTCAAAAGGCATATTTTGAACCTTAGCGTGGGATCATTTTTCCGCTAGCTTGTACCAAGTGTAGTGGTAATAAGCATTTTTTCTGCCTTTTTGACATACAAAGTGAGTTTGCACAGTATATTTTGCAAACCTTATGTGTGCTACGACTGTATAATACTTCATATGTTGCTCAGCTATGTCGGCTGAGTACAGCAATACCCCCGTATGTACCTTTGCCAGGTATGTGTGGACATCGGAGGGGCACATTTGGGACACAGCCATTCCAGTTTTTTTCAAACTTTGAATTTTTATGCTGTGCCTATGTCCCATTTTAGAGTATTTTACCAGGCTATATAATCCAAATTCCCCATAAAGCCATACCATTTCTTAAAGAAGACATCCCAGGGTATTTCAAAAGGCATATTTTGAACCTTAGCGTGGGATCATTTTTCCGCTAGCTTGTACCAAGTGTAGTGGTAATAAGCATTTTTTCTGCCTTTTTTGACATACAAAGTGAGTTTGCGCAGCATATTTTGCAAACCTTATGTGTGCTATGACTGTATAATACTTCATATGTTGCTCAGCTATGTCGGCTGAGTACAGCAATACCCCCGTATGTACCTTTGCCAGGTATATGTGGATGTTGAAGGGGCGCATTTGAGACGCAGCCATTCAGTTTTTTCTAACTTTGAAGTTTTACGCTGTGTCCATGTTCCAATTTGGAGTAGTTTAGATGGTTGGTTATTGAAACTTCCCCACAAACACATACTATTTATTAAAGAATACACCCTGGGGTAATTCAAAAGGCATATTTTGAACCTTGGCGTGGGATAATTTTTTCTCTAGTTTGCTCCAGGTGTAGTGGTAATGAGCGTTTTTAAAATGTATTTTTTTACTTTTTATAACTTTTTTACTTTTAAAAACTAGTTTTTAAACTTTTGTTTTGCTTATAAATTTTTTTTAAACTTTCCTAAACTTTCTTAAAACTTTTTTACAGATTTAACATTTTTCTAAGCTTTTTTTTTACCGTTAACCCCTAACTAGCAGTATGCAGCAGTAACAGTAAATTCCCCATTTTCCCATAACTCCCACCCACCCCAGCTAGCAAAATATATAGTTATAAAATATTTAAATTAATTAAATAAATTGAACCCCTGAGGGTTAAAAAAATAAATAAAAGTTAATCCTCAGGGGTTAAAAAAAATTAGATCACAGTATAATACTGTGATCTCTATTTGATCGCTGTAGGCAGTGATCGACTGGCAGGGAAGGGGTTAATTTTTATTTGGACTAGGTAAAGTGTGTTTTTTTTGTTTTTTTTTTACTTAAATGTTATTAAAACATATTTTTAAGCTTAATTTTTAACTTTTTAAAGTTTCTTTTAAAACTTTTTTTAACGTTAACCCCTAGTTAGCCTAACGCCAAATCCCCCAATTCCCCACTAACTTCCACCCACCCCAGCTATCTAAATATATAATTTAAAAAAAAATTAATTAATTAATTTAATTAATTTAACCCCTGAGGGTTAAAAAAAAAAAAGAATTAACCCTCAGGGGTTAAAAAAAAAAATCAGATCATAGTAAAATGTAATCCCTGCCAATTGATCACTGTAGTCAGTGATCAATTGGCAGGGAAGGGGTTAATTTTTTATTAAAATGGGTAAGGGGGGGGGACACTTTAAATTAACTTTATTTTTTTTAACAGCAGGGGGCAGGATCAGCACTGATCCGGCTCCCTGCACTTCACACAGAACCCGGAAGTGCAGGGAGCCGGTAGGTGAGTATTCAGAGCACATGTGCTCGCCCCGACTTGTGGTCAGAGCGAGCACATGTGCTGGGCAGCTTGACCGGGTGCTCCCGGTATGCCTCCAATGCAGAGGCATACCGGGAGCACCATTAACCCCGCGATCGCCGCGATAGCGGCGATCCGGGGTTAATTTTACCGCGTGACGGACGAGGTCCGTCACCCGTCGTTAAGGGTCTCCCCTGCGTGACGGACCTCGTCCGTCACCCGTCCTGAAGGGGTTAAGTGGCTCTCTATATGTGAGTGGGACCAACACATATATTGTAATATTTGAGTTTAAACTTTATTACCCTATGTCTTTCTTCTTTGTTTAATTTCAGAGAATTATATGACTGTCAATTTGGCTACATAGTTACAGTTACATAGCTGAAAAGAGACTTGTGTCCATCAAGTTCAGCCTTCCTCACAAATGTTGTTGCTGTTGATCCAAAAGAAGGCAAAAAACCTGGTCTGAAGCGCTTCCAATTTTGCCACAAACTAGGAAAAAATTATTTCTTGACCCCAAAATAGCAGTCAGATGTCTCCTTGGATCAAGCAGCTATTACCCCACTAATTAGAAAATATATCCTTGTATGTTATGTTTTTGTAAGTATTTATCCAATTTCAGTTTAAACATCTGTATGGACTCTGACAAAACCACATCTTCAGGCAGAGAATTCCATATCCTTATTGTTCTTACTGTAAAAAATCCTTTTCTTTGCCTTAGATGAAATCTCCTTTCTTCCAGCCTAAATGTGTGACCTCGTGTCCGATGTATAGCCCTGTTTATGAATAGATTTCCAGATAAAGGTTTGTACTGGCCCCGAATATCCAAACTAAACAGATTCAATTTTTTTAACCTTTCTTCATTACTAAAATGCTCCATTCCTTTTATCAATTTTGTAGCTCGTCTCTGGACCCTCTCCAGTGCCATGATATCCTTCTTTAGAACAGGCGCCCAAAATTGCACAGCATATTCAAGGTGTGGTCTTACCAGCGATTTATAAAGAGGCAAAATTATATTTTCACCCCGAGAATTTATGCTCCTATTTATACATGACAAAATCTTACTGGCCTTAGCAACTGCAGATTGACATTGCATATTGCTGCCTAATTTGTTGTCTATAACAATTCCCAAATCCTTCTCGTGTGTGGTTATCCCTAATTCACTACCATTTTAGAGTGTAAGTTGCTTGTGCATTCTTAACCCCGAAGTGCATAACTTTGCATTTTAGTGCCCAGTCCCCCAATCTATCCAAATCTCTCTGCAGCAAAGCAATATCCTGCTCACATTTTATTACTTTACAAAGTTTTGTGTCATCTGCAAACACTGATACATGGCTTTCAATGCCTATTTCAAGATCATTTATAAATATGTTAAATAGAAGTGGTCCCAAAACAGAACCCTGAGGGACACCACTTACCACTTTTGTCCAGCCTGAAAATTTACCATTAATTACAACTCGTTGTACTCTATCCTTAAGCCAATGTTCTACCCAAGAACAAGAATATTCATCTAGACCAGTTTCTTTTAGTTTGAAGACTAACCTATTGTGAGGAACCGTATCAAATGCCTTGGCAAAATCCAAGTAGATCACATCCACTGCAACACCCTGATTCTACTTACTGGTCAATATTTATTTATTTTTTTGAGTGCTCTCACTGTTTATTTTCTTGTTAAAAACAAATAGTATACATAGATATAAAAGGTGGAGTTTCAGAGTGATATTCCAACAGATATTCTGCAAGATAAAATATGCAAAAAATAGTGCAATACAATATTTAAAAGCTTGAAAGATAAAATAAAAGAGCAATATCACTCACAAGCCTAGAGTCATACCCTCATATGATTCGAATGGTATCCGCCTTTGGACTATTTCAGGATGTCCAAATCCTTTTTTTTCCAAAGTGATGTGTGCTTTCCTTCTCCCTCTTGGCCGGCTCCACAGTGTATAAATGCCAGGTAAGAGGGTTTTCTTTAGGAAAAGGTGCTTTATTTATCCAAATAAAAATTCAAAAATAAAAACAAAATCATACCAGATAAATATCTGGACTAGCCACCAGCAACAGAAACGTCTGTGCTAACATCATGGAAGCTCCTGCTAGAGGTTCAAATGATGGTTTAGTCAGAGCCCGTGAGACCAGTGGTACGTCACATATTGGTTTCAACACCCTCAGCGGAGGCTTGAGTTCAATTGTTGCTCACATGAAGCAAAGCACCAGGGGCATCAACGCTCAATGGGTACAATTCAGTACGGGTAGAGAATGACATAGATAAGCATTCACCATAGGCAGGATCTTCAGGTGCCAAATGCAAGACAACCACATCTGTTGAAAAATAGTGAAAGGGGGTTCACAGGATCAAGCCTGGAGTTCACCCATTTTCCTTGCTGGGGTACCAGCCACCAGCACTTTCTGTGCTACCGCCATGGAAGCTCCTTTTAGAGGTTTGAATAATGGTTTAGTCAGGGCCCGTGAGACCAGTGGTACGTCACATATTGGCTTCACCACACTCAGTGGAGGCATGATTTCAATCAATGCCTATATGAAGCAAAGTGCAGTTAAGTGCTCCTCTAGAGTGTTATAACACAGAACCTTTCAAAGCCTGAACGAGGAGTAATTCCAACAGACAAAAGCATGTGAAGCTTTGTAAAGCCTGTATAGGATTGGAAGAGGATCTCAATGACCATCTCAGGGATGCCTATACTAATATGGACTCCCACATCAACACCAGAACTTGAGAATCCTGCTGGTGTGTCAAGGGGCCTTGTAATTTCCCTTGGAGGTTCCAGAATCATCTTATTCATCATAGGAATTAGAGTTGACACGGTCTTCCACTGTTACCTTTTGCATTACCTTTTTAGGAAAGTTGAAAACAGTAAAAACAATTAAAATTCTAAATTTGAGTCAGTGCATCCTGAACCTGAGCATTCTGGTCCAAGAATGTAGAAAATACTTCTGGACCTGGTAGTTCCAAGAAATGGCCATCAGATCTGTGTAGGGTATAAGACAAATCTGCGTCAACCCCGAGGATACGTTGTGACATGGTTGCCAATCCACCTTGTCCACAGTTATTCGGCTCAAGCACACAGCCATTGTATTCTGAGCCCCTGGTTGTTCTTCTGTGCCCTGATCATTATGGGCTGGAATTCCATCAATACGTATCTGTGAGACCCATCTTGATAGATATAGGATACAGTTGCATTGATATTTGAGCAAATTTGGACCCACTCGTTCTTCAGCAAGCCTCTGAAGTGAAGAAGAGCCTTGAAAATGACTCTTAATTCCATACAAATGAATGGAAATTTTGTGCAACATGGTCCAAACACTGTGCAACCAATCTTATAAAAACTGTAATTAGAGCTAATAATTGACCAATGAGGTTCTGTTCACTGGAAACTCAGAGATCTAATCCCTCTATTCAGCAACTAGGTAAGGTGTAACTCCACTGATGGGGACATAGTCAGTGGCTGGCTCCAATAATCTTTCTCTTGTTAAACCAAGATAGGAAGGATCTGTGATGAATCCAGAGATGCCATTGGGCCCATCTGACAAGTCTGCTGGTGGAAGCCAGGATTCCTAGTAGTTGCACCTATTTTCTTGCTGTTACCAAGCAGAAATGAAGAAACTTGGGAGAGAAAACCTTCACAAACTGTGGAACTGTTCCTGAGATAGGGAAAAGCAGAGCATAGAATTTTCCACTTGGGAATGTCAACAACTGAGCTGGTGTGAAACTGTTCTTACTGTAAAAAATCCTTTTCTTTGCCTTAGATGAAATCTCCTTTCTTCCAGCCTAAATGTGTGACCTCGTGTCCTATGTATAGCCCTGTTTATGAATAGATTTCCAGATAAAGGTTTGTACTGGCCCGAATATATTTGTATAAAGTTATCATATCCCCTCTCAGGCGCCGTTTTTCCAAACTAAACAGATTCAATTTTTTTAACCTTTCTTCATTACTAAAATGCTCCATTCCTTTTATCAATTTTGTAGCTCGTCTCTGGACCCTCTCCAGTGCCATGATATCCTTCTTTAGAACAGGCGCCCAAAATTGCACAGCATATTCAAGGTGTGGTCTTACCAGCGATTTATAAAGAGGCAAAATTATATTTTCACCCCGAGAATTTATGCTCCTATTTATACATGACAAAATCTTACTGGCCTTAGCAACTGCAGATTGACATTGCATATTGCTGCCTAATTTGTTGTCTATAACAATTCCCAAATCCTTCTTGTGTGTGGTTATCCCTAATTCACTACCATTTTAGAGTGTAAGTTGCTTGTGCATTCTTAACCCCGAAGTGCATAACTTTGCATTTTAGTGCCCAGTCCCCCAATCTATCCAAATCTCTCTGCAGCAAAGCAATATCCTGCTCACATTTTATTACTTTACAAAGTTTTGTGTCATCTGCAAACACTGATACATGGCTTTCAATGCCTATTTCAAGATCATTTATAAATATGTTAAATAGAAGTGGTCCCAAAACAGAACCCTGAGGGACACCACTTACCACTTTTGTCCAGCCTGAAAATTTACCATTAATTACAACTCGTTGTACTCTATCCTTAAGCCAATGTTCTACCCAAGAACAAGAATATTCATCTAGACCAATTTCTTTTAGTTTGAAGACTAACCTATTGTGAGGAACCGTATCAAATGCCTTGGCAAAATCCAAGTAGATCACATCCACTGCAACACCCTGATTCTACTTACTGGTCAATATTTATTTATTTTTTTGAGTGCTCTCACTGTTTATTTTCTTGTTAAAAACAAATAGTATACATAGATATAAAAGGTGGAGTTTCAGAGTGATATTCCAACAGATATTCTGCAAGATAAAATATGCAAAAAATAGTGCAATACAATATTTAAAAGCTTGAAAGATAAAATAAAAGAGCAATATCACTCACAAGCCTAGAGTCATACCCTCATATGATTCGAATGGTATCCGCCTTTGGACTATTTCAGGATGTCCAAATCCTTTTTTTTCCAAAGTGATGTGTGCTTTCCTTCTCCCTCTTGGCCGGCTCCACAGTGTATAAATGCCAGGTAAGAGGGTTTTCTTTAGGAAAAGGTGCTTTATTTATCCAAATAAAAATTCAAAAATAAAAACAAAATCATACCAGATAAATATCTGGACTAGCCACCAGCAACAGAAACGTCTGTGCTAACATCATGGAAGCTCCTGCTAGAGGTTCAAATGATGGTTTAGTCAGAGCCCGTGAGACCAGTGGTACGTCACATATTGGTTTCAACACCCTCAGCGGAGGCTTGAGTTCAATTGTTGCTCACATGAAGCAAAGCACCAGGGGCATCAACGCTCAATGGGTACAATTCAGTACGGGTAGAGAATGACATAGATAAGCATTCACCATAGGCAGGATCTTCAGGTGCCAAATGCAAGACAACCACATCTGTTGAAAAATAGTGAAAGGGGGTTCACAGGATCAAGCCTGGAGTTCACCCATTTTCCTTGCTGGGGTACCAGCCACCAGCACTTTCTGTGCTACCGCCATGGAAGCTCCTTTTAGAGGTTTGAATAATGGTTTAGTCAGGGCCCGTGAGACCAGTGGTACGTCACATATTGGCTTCACCACACTCAGTGGAGGCATGATTTCAATCAATGCCTATATGAAGCAAAGTGCAGTTAAGTGCTCCTCTAGAGTGTTATAACACAGAACCTTTCAAAGCCTGAACGAGGAGTAATTCCAACAGACAAAAGCATGTGAAGCTTTGTAAAGCCTGTATAGGATTGGAAGAGGATCTCAATGACCATCTCAGGGATGCCTATACTAATATGGACTCCCACATCAACACCAGAACTTGAGAATCCTGCTGGTGTGTCAAGGGGCCTTGTAATTTCCCTTGGAGGTTCCAGAATCATCTTATTCATCATAGGAATTAGAGTTGACACGGTCTTCCACTGTTACCTTTTGCATTACCTTTTTAGGAAAGTTGAAAACAGTAAAAACAATTAAAATTCTAAATTTGAGTCAGTGCATCCTGAACCTGAGCATTCTGGTCCAAGAATGTAGAAAATACTTCTGGACCTGGTAGTTCCAAGAAATGGCCATCAGATCTGTGTAGGGTATAAGACAAATCTGCGTCAACCCCGAGGATACGTCGTGACATGGTTGCCAATCCACCTTGTCCACAGTTATTCGGCTCAAGCACACAGCCATTGTATTCTGAGCCCCTGGTTGTTCTTCTGTGCCCTGATCATTATGGGCTGGAATTCCATCAATACGTATCTGTGAGACCCATCTTGATAGATATAGGATACAGTTGCATTGATATTTGAGCAAATTTGGACACACTCGTTCTTCAGCAAGCCTCTGAAGTGAAGAAGAGCCTTGAAAATGACTCTTAATTCCATACAAATGAATGGAAATTTTGTGCAACATGGTCCAAACACTGTGCAACCAATCTTATAAAAACTGGAATTAGAGCTAATAATTGACCAATGAGGTTCTGTTCACTGGAAACTCAGAGATCTAATCCCTCTTTTCAGCAACTAGGTAAGGTGTAACTCCACTGATGGGGACATAGTCAGTGGCTGGCTCCAATAATCTTTCTCTTGTTAAACCAAGATAGGAAGGATCTGTGATGAATCCAGAGATGCCATTGGGCCCATCTGACAAGTCTGCTGGTGGAAGCCAGGATTCCTAGTAGTTGCATCTATTTTCTTGCTGTTACCAAGCAGAAATGAAGAAACTTGGGAGAGAAAACCTTCACAAACTGTGGAACTGTTCCTGAGATAGGGAAAAGCAGAGCATAGAATTTTCCACTTGGGAATGTCAACAACTGAGCTGGTGTGAAACTGCTTTTCTTGATATTCATCAAGCAGTCAAACTTTAGGAGTTATGAAAGAACTATATGCCTCTGTGTGCCTGCCTTCTGAGGGTCTAAGGCTATCAGAAGTAGATCCTCCAAATAATGGAACCAGGTGGAGTTGTGGACTCTCAATAACACTATAAGCACATATAAAGATTCTTGGGGCCGCGTTGAGGCCAAATGGTAGGGCACTAGTTCAGGTATGTAGATAGACCACGCCCCAGATCCAAACTATACCATTTCTCTTCTTCTTACGATGAGGGATGAGGAAAAAAGGCTGGCAAAATGATGTCCTGATTCATATGGAAAGGAGAAACCACCTTTGGTCTGAAAGCTGGAATCGTATGAAGGATTACTCTGTCTTCCTGAAGAATCAAAAAGGTGACTCACAGGAGAGAGCGCTTAGCTCGGAGATTCTTCTACCTGAGGTCAAGGCAACCAACAGAACGGTTTTCAACGTAAGAGTAAGTATAGAAACACTCTCCAATGGCTCAAACGGAGAATCAGATGAGGTCTGTAAAACCAGAGGTAAATCCCAAGGCGGGGAGCAAGACCGTACTGGAGGGCGAAGCTTGAGAATGGCTTGAAAAAATCTGGCAATATCTGGATCAAATGCCAATTTCCAATCTAACAGAGCAGAGGTTGCTGAAGTATGCACTTTTAGGGAGCTGAGACTCAATCCGTCCTGTAAAAATTGAAGGACGTCACAGATACTGGGAGACAAAGAAATATTATGTGCCAAACACCAGCTACAAAAGATGTCCCAAATACGATAGTAAGCTGATGAAGTGGATTTCTTCCTGGCATTCAGAAGAGTATGAATTACTGAAGAAGAGAAGCCTTTGCTGGAGAGACGTTGCTTCTCAATTTCCAAGCCCTTAAATTGAGAGACTGAGGAGATGGTTGAGAGATCGGACCTTGTTGTAGGAGACTGAGTTGGTCTGGGAATTTCAGAGGAATGTCCTGAGAGAGTTTCTGCAGCAGGGGAAACCAAGGTCGTCTGGGCCAGAAGGGAATCACTGCCATAATTGTTGCTTGCTCCTGCAGGATCCTTTTTAGCAGGGGGAAAATCAGAGGAGTTGGGGGAAAAACATACCCCAGATGGAACTTCCACTCGCAACAGAGAGCATCCTGGTCTTCCGCCAAAGGGTCGAAGTAACGCGAGAAGAACCTTTCCACTTTGCAATTCTTCGCTGTGGCCATCATATCTACCTGAGGAAAACCCCACTTCTGGACTATGCTTTGGAATGCCAGAGGGGCTAACTCCCATTCTGTGGGATCCAGGGTTACTCGGCTTAAGAAATCCGCCACTTGATTGTTCTTTCCCGGAAGGTAAACTGCCTGGATCCCCTTCAAATTCTTCTCTGACCAGGACATAAGTGGGGTCAACACTTTCAATAAGCGTTTGCTCTTTGTACCCCCTTGATGATTGATGCAAGCAACTGCAGAGGTATCGTCTATCCTTACTTTCACCCAACTTTGTTTCAGACAAGGAAAGTGCAGAAGAGCCTGGAAGACTGCTTGCAACTCTAAAACATTCGAGGATAGAGGATACTGTTTGTTTTCTCACTGCCCCTGAACATGAAGAAGGCCCAAATGAGCTCCCCAACCTGATTGGCATGCATCCGTCGTAAGAGTAACCCTAGGGATATCGTTCAGAGGATACCCTTGATATAGATTCTCGTTCATTAGCCACCATGCCAGTTCCTTCTTGATCTCTGATGATAAAGAGATTGCTTGATTCAGATCCTTGTTCGCAAACTGGGATAGAAACCCTTCTTGCGGAATCCTCATATGCCACTGGGCCCATCTCGTAAGGCCTATTATAGAGGACAAACTTCCCAGAAGGCTCATAAATTCCGGGATGGAGTTCAGAAGCAGAAGACGAAGGATCTTCGATAAGTTAAGGGAAGCTTTACAATATATTGACTGGCATAAACTCTTTAGTGAAAAGAACACTGAGGATAAATGGATCATCTTCCAACAAATATTAAAAAGGTACATTTCTCAGTATGTACCGTTGGGAAATAAATATAAAAGAAACAAATTAAAACCAATGTGGCTTAGTAGAGAAGTAAAACAAGAGATTGCAACTAAGAAAAGGGCATTTAAAGCATTTAAATCGGACAAATCAGATGCATTTTATGAAAGATATAAGGATGCAAATAATGCGTGCAAAAAGGCAATTAGACTTGATAAAATTCTAAATGAAATAATGATAGCTGAAGAGAGCAAAACCAACCCCAAAGCATTTTTTAAGTACATAAATTCTAAAAAACAAACAAAATGAAAGTGTAGGTACACTAAAAACTGAAACGGGGGTGTTAGTTAATGAAGACCAGGAAAAGGCAAGAATTTTAAATAACTATTTCTCCTCCGTATATATTAAGGAAGAACCCATGGCAATAGATGTGCAAATGATTGCTACTAAAAACTTGCAGAATAATTGTAATTGGTTAACTCAAGACAAGGTGCAGCAGCAACTAAAGAAAGTTCATATAAACAAAGCTCCAGGCCTGACGGTATCCATCCACATGTACTTAAGGAACTAAGTGCAGAAATAAGTGAACCTCTGTTTTTAATCTTTCAAGATTCTTTTCTTTCAGGAAGTGTTCCGGAGGATTGGAGGAAGGCAGATGTGGTTCCTATATTCAAAAAGGGTTCAAAATCCTTGCCTGGAAATTATAGACCTGTGAGCTTAACTTCTGTGGCTGGTAAAATATTTGAAAGGTTATTAAGGGATAATATTCAAGAATTCCTTGAGAAGAACGTGGTTATCAGCAAAATTCAGCATGGTTTTATGAAGCACAGGTCATGTCAAACTAACTTGATTGCTTTCTACAAAGAAGTAAGGGTGTTGCCGTGGATGTGATCTATTTCGATTTTGCTAAGGCATTAGATACAGTTCCACACAATAGATTAGTGTTCAAACTTATGAAAATCGGTCTAGATGAAAATGCTTGTTCTTGGGTAGAACATTGGCTTAAAAACAGAGTACAAAGAGTCGTCATTAATGGTAAATTTTCAAGCTGGACAGAGGTGGCAAGTGGTGTCCCTCAGGGGTCTGTTCTGGGACCCCTTCTATTTAACATGTTTATAAATGATCTTGAAGACCGCATTGAAAGTCATGTTTCAGTGTTTGCAAATGACACCAAACTGTAAAACAATACAATGTGAGCAAGATATTACTTTGCTTCAGAGGGATTTAGATAGACTGGGGGACTGTGCACTCAAATGGCAGATGAAATTTAATGTTGAAAAATGCAAAGTTATGCACTTCGGCGTAAAGAATACACAAGCAACGTATACCCTTAATGGAAGCGAATTAGGGATAACAACACATGAAAAGGACTTGGGAATTGTTATAGACAACAAACTATGCAACAATGTGCAATGTCAATCAGTAGTGGCCAAGGCCAGTAAGGTATTGTCATGCATGAAAAAGGGCATTCATTCTCGGGACAAGAATATAATTTTGCCTCTTTATAAATCACTGGTAAGACCCCATATTGAATATGCTGTGCAATTTTGGGCACCTGTTCTAAAGAAGGATATTATGGCACTAGAAAAAGTGCAGAGGCGGGCTACAAAATTAATAAAAAGAATGGAACATATCGGCTATGAAGAAAGGTTAACAAATTTAAACCTATTTAGTTTAGAAAAACGTCGCCTGAGAGGGGATATGATAACATTATACAAATATATTCGGGGCCAATACAAACCATTGTGTGGAAATCTATTCACAAACCGGACTTTACATAGGACACGAGGCCATGCGTTTAGACTGGAAGAAAGAAGATTTCGTCTAAGGCAAAGGAAAGGTTTTTTTACTGTAAGAACAATCAGGATGTGGAATTCTCTGCCTGAAGAAGTGGTTTTATCAGAGTCCATACAGATGTTCAAACGGCTACTAGATGCATACTTGCAAGAACAGAATATTCAAGGATATAATCTTTCAATGTAGGGTAATAACTGCTTGATACAACAAACAAAAAGACAGATGCTACTAGTTCTCAGTGCATAAACATCCCTAAGAACAGCTGCATCACCTGGAAATATATATAGCTATGTAGTCATGATAATAAACTGGCTGAAAACATATATAATAGGGACTACTGGAGACCAAATATAGAAAATGATAATAATAATAAATAAACAAAAAGTAATATACAGGTGAAACTGATGCTCATATGCCAACCAGAGTAAAAGGTCCAGTAGGTATATCATATAAAATTCATTGGTAATGGTATGCACCCAAATCAAAATTTCAGCTTTATTAAAGGAAATGCTAAATAGGGATGGGTCCAATACAATTATAATACCCTAATTCAAGACTGTCTCTGGGTAGTCTCTACCTATTCCTGTGTGTTATCAATATGGTGGGTACTGTGCTTATATTGAAATTGGAAACCCCCTCTATCTAGAGCAGGGGACAATGTAGGTTAAAGCACATGCCCAATCTAACCATAAATCATTGTCTTAAAATAAAATGAATTCCAGACAGGAAGAGGTTAATAGTGGAACACAGAGAGAGATGGAAATTAGTTACAGGGTCAGTTTCTAGAAAACGGACAATGTTCAGTTAAAAAGCCTCTCTCCCTTGTAAACTCACTAGATAGGCATAAGAGCAGAAATGAGATAAGTGAAAAGTAAAGTGAACATTAAAATCGGAAAAAATAAAAAAAAAATCCCATAAAGCTAGTGCAAATCATGGTGCTCTAAACACCAGTGCCCAGTGCTCATAAAGTATGAGAAAAACGCCCGACGCGCGTTTCGGTGCCTTAAGAGATGCACCTTCGTCAGGGGCCAACACGAAACTAATAAGATCTCACTTAAATACTATAAACGCCAGAGGGCATGAATACCTGTATCCAATGGGGTCCAGGGGAATATCCCACATGTGTATCCGATTTCGGTAAACTAATCCAATTAGCGTGTAAGGGACCCGGTCCACGTGGTGTACGTGGGGAGGGGCCAAGGAACGCAACTAAAATTCCGACGTGTATACTTTATTACAAGATGAATGGATTTCCCCAAATGCTCCATGTCAGTAAATTGTAGAGTGGGCGGAGCAAGCGGAATTTGAGAATGACATCTTGTATGCAGGTTCTACAGGTCTACCAACCAATGGATGTAATGTGGGTGGGTCCAAAAACGGACCGAACTGACAATCTGAGCATCACAAAATAAAATAAAATAAAATGACCCTACAGGCAAATAAATAAAAGGCTTTTCATAAAGATATCCTATGTGTCACCACATACAAACCAGGGAGAGGATTATGTATATCACCTAAAGGTGGTTATATGTGATCCATACACAAGTACTACTGTGTGTATTCTTGGGGGAAACATATAAGATCACATGACTACATTGTATTCCTATTCTCTGTCTATCTATTCTGCCTAATATTGAAATCTATATATATACAGGCAGAATAGACTACAGAGAGCTCTGTCACAATGATCAGAAATTATTATAGATGTACATATGTGTATAGAAATGTGCATATCTGAATCTGTCAATAGACCTCCAAAGTGGGTATTCATGTCCAAAATAAATTGCAAAATAAAATAAAATAAATGATAATATAGATAAATAATAAACACTAATAAACAAACAACTACAGGTGCTATAAATACAAAATTTACAAGTGTATCAGGCATATATACCAATCTAGATATATGTATAGAATAAAATGTATACATATAAATACATGGTGTCTATTATGGACCAGACCAAAGTCCCTCTGTTATACACTAGTCTGATATAAAGGGCGTATATGAGAAGCCTTCATTGAGACCAAGTGGTGAAAGAGTTTTGAGCTTGTAAATCCAAAAGCTCTCTCTTTGTAGGAGTCTTTTGTCTAGATCACCACCTCTTGGTCCCAAAGTGACTTTTTCAATGCCGCAAAATCTAATCCCTTCAGATGAACCTCCATGGTGTAATTTTAAATGTTTAGAAACTGGGGTATCTATTAATCTTTTGGGATTCACTGAGTTGACGTGTTCCCCTATTCTCAACTTGAAATTGCGGGATGTTTTGCCCACGTAGAGTTTTCTACAAGAACATGTAAGTAAATATACCAGGCCTTTGAATTGACAATTAAAGAAGTGTTTAACCTTAAATTCCTGAGTATATGATGAGTCTGGAAAAGACGGTCGACGTATAAATTTACACGCTTTGCACTTTCCACATTGGTATGTACCTATAACTGAAGATTTCAACCATGTTGGTTTCTGAGGGGCATTCTTGAGGTGACTAGGGACCAAAATGTCCTTGATATTACGTTCCCTTCTTGCTGTCACTGATGCCCTGGGTGTAATCACCCTATGTAAATGTGGGTCTTGGTGCAAAAGGGGCCAGAATCTTTCCAAAATCTTCAAAATCTCATGCCAACCGGCATCAAAATTTCCTATACATCTAATGACTACCCAGAGACAGTCTTGAATTAGGGTATTATAATTGTATTGGACCCATCCCTATTTAGCATTTCCTTTAATAAAGCTGAAATTTAGGTTTGGGTGCATACCATTACCAATAAATTTTATATGATATACCTACTGGACCTTTTACTCTGGTTGGCATATGAGCATCAGTTTCACCTGTATATTATTTTTTGTTTATTTATTATTATCATTTTCTATATTTGGTCTCCAGTAGTCCCTATTATATATGTTTTCAGCCAGTTTATTATCATGACTACATAGCTATATATATTTCCAGGTGATGCAGCTGTTCTTAGGGATGTTTATGCACTGAGAACTAGTAGCATCTGTCTTTTTGTTTGTTGTATTTGTTACACTGGGGTTAAGCCCCTTTAGAGACCCCTGGAGTCTCTTTGCGGTACACAAGACCTTGGGTTGGACCCGACACTACCCCCTTTTTTCTAGGGGAGACTGTACGGGTATGCACCCATGATCTTGTAATTTCTCTGTCCTTTTTGTAATAACTGCTTGATCCAAGGATAAATCTGACTGCCATTCTGGGGTCAAGAAGGAATTTTTTTCCTAGCTTGTTGCAAAATTGTGCTTCAAACTGGGTTTTTTTGCCTTCTTTTGGATCAACAGCAAAAAACAAATGTGAGGTAGGCTGAACTTGATGGACGCAAGTCTCTTTTCAGCTATGTAACTATGTAACTATGAATACGAAGCCCCCTGTCCAAGGATAGGGAGACTTGTGACTGGATTGTGTCCCTAAGTATATCATAACTTGAGAGCGGGAAAGCTGACTCTTCTTGACGTTTACCAACCATCCAAATTTTTGAAGAATTAAAAGAACCCAATCTCGATGAAGAAGGAGAATATCTCTGCTGTGTGAGAGAATCAAGATGTCGTCGAGATAATGGAATATTGAGATGCCTTCCAGATGGATATATAAGGCAACCAGGATATTTGAGAAAGTCCTGGGAGCTGTGCTCAGGCCAAAGGGAAGGGCTCGAAACTGAAAATACTGATGGTGAATCGCAAATCTCAAGAACTTCTGGTGTGGTGGAGCAATAGGAACGTGAAAGTAAGCATCTCGAAGGTCTTTGGAGATTAACCAGTCGACCTGGGGAGATGACTTTTATAATGGAACTTACTGATTCCGTCTTGAATTTTCTCACATACAGATTTTTTGTTTAATTCGTGAAGGCCAAAATCGGTCTCCATTCCCCTGATGCTTTCGGAGTGAGAAAAAGTCTGGAATAAACCCCCAATCCTCTTTCTTTTGCAGGAACAGGACATATAACGTCCCATCAGAATTGCTTTGAAGGCTTGCCATTGCCACCCCGTCCTCAGATGGTTTTGGAAGAGGAGAGTCCACTTTTCCAGGATTGGAATCTGGAAAACTCTCTACCAGGCCTATATTGTCTAAAGTCCTTGTCCCGAAAGGAACGTGTGTCCTGCGGAAAGGATCTTTTAGGACGTCTATCTTGAGGAAGAAAGGCCTTATGTCCTTCTACTGTCTTTTTGATACATTCGTCCAGATATTTGCCAAAGAGCATATCTCCTTTAAAAGGGAGGGAACACAGGATATTTTTTTAAGAATTATCCGCCACCCAATTACGTAGCCACAATGAAGACACAACTTAAGGGAAAAAGATCCAAAGTCATTGCTTGCAAAGGATTCTTGATAAAGTCTTAAAAATTTACATTTTATTTATGATTGTGTTAAATTGTCCAGTTGCATTTAAATGGTTACAACTCCTAAATGTATCATACAATATTATAGTTTAACCCCTTGAATTAAAGTTGAAAGTCTGTACTTCAAGTGCATCTTGGTTGTTTCATTTCAAAACCATTGTGGTGACGTACACAGCCAAAATTATGAAAATTGTATCAGTGTCCAAATATTTTCAGACCTAACTGCATATATATTTTATATATATATATATTTGTAGTTTGGGCAATATGGCCGAACAGAGAAATCTTAGCATAATATAATCATAATATCCATAAGTTAGCACCAGTCGGTTGTGGTGTGCCGGAACCGACAAAGCAGTAGGCCTGTAATAAAAGTGGGCCCAACCTTAGAGGGTGTTATGAATAGAGGTGGTGGGAGGGTTGACTCGCCAGACCAGCAACGGTAAGGTGGGAGTGGATTGGCAGCCCTTTTAAAGGTGAACCAAGCCCCTCCCACAACTACAGGCCAAGCCTTCAAATTTGTAGTCGGGGCAATATGGCCGAACAGAGAAATCTTAGCATAATATAATCATAATATCCATAAGTTAGCACCAGTCGGTTGTGGTGTGCCGGAACCGACAAAGCAGTAGGCCTGTAATAAAAGTGGGCACCAGGAGAAAACAGAGGCCCTTCCAATAGCAATACCACAACACACCCTGGAACAACTACAACTAGCCCACCCATTCAAATACAACCTAAGCAATATACAATACCTAGGAACATATCTCCAAGCAGACCTAAACACATTATATGCCCTGAACTACACACCACTACTCCACCAAGCACAAATAGACCTGCAAAAATGGGGACCTATGTCCATATCTTGGATAGGACGCATAGCCTCAATAAAAATGAATCTCCTCCCCCGATTCCTCTATCTCTTCCAAACACTACCAATACCCATTTCCAAACACGACTTTAAAACGCTCCAGGTACACATAGACAGATTTATCTGGTCAAACAGGAGACCGCGCATAAAAAGATCCACAATGTACAAAACCACAAAAACAGGAGGCCTGGGCCTCCCGAACTTCTACCACTACTACCAAGCGGCCCAACTGGCCCAAATACAACAACTGCACGCACCACCAGGATTCAAGCTCTGGGTAGACCTAGAGCACGACCTCCTGGGACAAGACCACCCATCACTACTTTTTTGGCTGCCCAAGAAGGATAGGCCACCCACCCCACAAACCACTCCTACACTAACCACATCCTTTCTCATTTGGGACGACATCACATCAAAACATCCCGTAATCAACAACCCATCGCCCCTCACACCTATCCTAAGAAACAAGCAATTTCCCCCAGGCCTAACTCCCAAAGACTTCTCACGATTTGAGGACAATGGCCTATTACGATTTCTACACTTTTTCCAAGGCCAACAACTCTGCCCCTTCCAGGACCTCCCCAAACAAACACCCCTGACCACATTTGATCACTTCCGCTACATACAGATTCGCAGCTTTCTCAACGAACCACAAAATAGGACAGCCGCCACTACCAAACCAACACAATTCTAAAAAACATGCCTCCACGCACCCATACAGAAAGGACAAATCACAAAAATATACTCACTCCTAAACTCAAACTCCCCAGAGGACACACTCTCCTACACCAAGGCCTGGGAAAGAGATATAGGCCCCCCGGCAGACCCCACAGACTGGGCAGACATATGGGAAGCCACGGCCTCACTTACCATTTGCGTTAATCACAAAGAACAAGCCTATAAAACCCTACTCAGATGGTACCTCACACCGCTCAGACTGAAACAAATGGGCCTCGCCACCACAGACACCTGCTGGAAAGGCTGCACACAGAAGGGCACATACATTCACCTCTGGTGGGAATGTCCCCAAGTCCTACAAATATGGGAAAGAGTGAGCACGCTCACGTCAGACATATTAGAAACAGATATCCCAAGAGACCCCTGGATATGGCTGCTCTCAAAACCTCACCCTCCCCTCACCAGAGCGCAAAATAAACTAGTGGCCAGATTAGCGTTAGCTACGAGAAGAACGATAGCAGAACAATGGGGCAATCAGAATACACCCCAACTAACCACGATGATCCACAAAACACAAGAAGCAATGGAAATGGACAAACTGTCAGCCCTACTACACGACACAACACGAAACTTCCACAAGATATGGGACCCATGGACCCAACACCACCTACAGGCACCGTAAGCGGAGGACCCGGGAACAAGCCGCGATTCCTCCCCCCCCCAAACCAGACCCCCTACTAATAACACACTCGGACCCCATACAGGTCCCCCCAACACCCCAACCCTATACACATACCCCCCCCCCACACCAACTTCACGAATCAACGCACAAACACAAGACTAGGGAACTCACCCAACATAAAACAAAATACCACACCCCGCACAACCTGACCACCAGCAGTAGATACGAATAAGAGGACAATCTCAGACACTAGGCGTAGACCCAGATCTCACTACACTGGAAACCCTCCACATCTACAGCCTACATGAGGCGACCACCCATGGGCTGAGACCACCAAACTCCCGCACGGACCCTACCCACACTCAAAACAGACACACCAACCCAAACCCCAGACCCAAACAGAACCGAAAGAGACAAAAACTTGACAAACACAACACAGGAAGAGCCACATACGCTCTCAGAGACGAAGACGACAGGACGCGAAGCCAAGTGACAACCTTCATCTGAGACATACAAAACTGTACCACTTAACCCGGAAGACTGTTCTGAGGTTTCGCAACAAATCGTACTAATGCCATTGAGTTGAAACAAAACTGTAAATCTATTGAATGACACTACTACCCCACCCCTACCTTTATTCTGTACCCTTTACCTCACCTAAACCTGAAAAATAAAGAATTTATAAAAATTAAAAAAAAGTGGGCACCAGACATGAGGTGCTGCTGGGGCCAATTCATATATATATATATATTTATTTATTTATAAAAAAAATTACTTTGGAAGTCTAGGCCAACTCCTTGGCTTTGCACTCATTGCAGTGCCCTATTTAGCCTTTTACTGCAGAGAACCCAGATGGATTTTTTTTCCCCCAAATAAGTTGGTTAATGTCATAAGCAGACATTAGGCTGTTAGAGTAGGACCTGTCAAAGATGGGGTACAGTGATGTTGTGGCCGGCTTATGCAATGTATGATCATATAATGTAACTAACTAAATCAATTTTTTCCTAGATTAGGTGTTTAAAATTTTTTTTTTTTAAAAACACAAAAAAATAATAATAAAATCTGTTTTTATAGTTGCTGTTTAGTGCAGCTTTGAACTATAACTTTCATCATGTTGTTGGACATATGTATGTTTATCTAAAACATGTATTGCTGGCATAAGGAAGCCAGGTTTTGAATTTACATGTATTCGTTTTTATTTTTCATAGCACTATGTCCTTCACCTTGTATCCCAACTCTTGTGACTGCTTTGTGTCACTGCCTCCAGCCTCTCTTTCTCCTGTTGTTATCTTTGGAAAGAACTCAGATCGATATCGTGAGGAAGTTCAGGAGGTGGTGTATTTCCCTTCCGCTACGCATGTTCCGGGGTCCAAAGTGATGGTGAGCACTGAGAGAGCTTTGTTGTTTTTGGAAACAATTAATTTGCATCCCTACATGGGAGGCAATAACTTCAACCAGTCAGCCACAAATTCACGGAGGCAGTATCAGATCGAATAGGCATTATAGGAAACCCCCATAAAGATGGGGATAGAGGTGCCTTTGACGGGTAGTAACTGTGCGAGAATGGACTGTAATCTGAATTATCAGTAAGAGCGATTGGATGTTTATTCAGTAGATTTTGGTGCAGATACCAATTTGTATATTGAAAAGTATTATTAATAATTTGTTTCTTTTGAGGATCTAGGGAACTAATAGATGGTTGCTAGATCTGAAACTCCTGGTCAACTATTCCTTACAGTGGTAGAAGTAACACAGAGAGGTCCATCGTGCAAAAATGTATTTGGATCCCCTTCCTATTGCAAGGGTGGCCAAAAGGAAGATCCCCATCTGTTGTACAATTCCCACAATGCTTTGTTAGCTGGGGATCTACCATTTCACATCCTTGAAGGGTTGTATTTGGCACTGAGCAGTGATTCTGTATTTGAATGTATGTTTTTGTATGGAGTATGTGTGAGTAAATGTAGGGGTGTGTTTGTATTTAGTGTTGGCGTGCATTTGTGTGTAGTGTTGGTTTTTGATGCAGAGGTTTGTTTATATATAGTGTTGGTGTTTTAATGCAGATGTGTGTTTGTATGTTGTGTTAAAATTTGAATGCAGCGTTGACATTTGAATGAGGGGTGTATTTGGGTGTAGTGTTGGCATTTGAATGCTGAGATGTATGCACATATACTGCCATACACACATGCAGGTAAGCATACACACAGATACACACACACACACAAATGGATACAAATAATGACACACATACAGATGCACAGGCACATGCAGATACACAGACACACCGATACAAACACATACAGATCCAAACTCTCTGATATACACACTGCCACAAATGAAGATACTCAGATAACACTGCCACACACACATATACACAGATACAAATACTGCCACACATGCAGATTCAGACAAACAGAAACACATACTGACAAAAATATAAACACTGACATGCATACAGATACAGACACACATACAGATACACAGAAACACATCTACAGACACATTTGCTGGTCAAAATTTTTGCTAATATTTAGTGGCTTCTGCTGCTTGAGGCTGTTGGTAATTAGGTGTTAGAGGCTTGCTCTCCCAGACAGCCGTCTCCTCCCTCCTGGGCAGCTTGGTGTGTTAGTTGAAAGGAAGTGACAGACTCATTTCCTTCCAGCGGTGGCTGCTGAAATTACAGGGGCCTGGTTTTGTGTGGCTCTAATTTGTTTCCCATTTTTTAAAATGGTGTGTGTGTGTGTGTGTGTGTGTGATATAAGAAGAAAGCTGTACCAATATGTAATATGTATGGGTGATGTAATCTTAAAGTAATTTTTTTCAGTTAACCTGGCAACATCAACCATGAAGCTGGTGATTAATGATTAAATCGCAGTTAAATGTTCCATTCATTTTGGATTGTGATCACTTTGAAAACCGTCTGACTAAATTCAGAAAAGGCCATTGATTGGTTGTAATATCTTGTGTTTGGATACAATTTATACATTATTTCGTTTGGCTAGTGTACATTCCTGGAGATAGAGCAAGCGCCTACAACTTTAGCTGTTCTTCTGAGTCGCCCAGCCTGGTTATGGGGGGCAGAGATGGGAGCTAACGAGAGGGGAGTGTGCATTGGCAATGAAGCAGTGTGGACCAAGGAGCCAGTAGTGGAGTGTGACGCTCTACTGGGCATGGATCTTGTAAGGTGAGATTAGCATACCACAAAAATACTCAATTACTTTCTCATAAATATCATACCTTCACCTATGCCCATTTGCACTTAGTCTTTATTTGACCTGGAAAGCTTTTCATTTTATATATTCCGTCCGGTCCACAACCACCTTATCAAGCTCTACCACCTGCCATTTATTCCGCCTCATATTTCTTTACCATTACTGTACCCTTTGCTTCCCTCTGCAGGCTGGCTCTGGAGCGTGCTTCATCTGCTCAAGAAGCTGTGCAAGTTATCACTGAACTGCTGGCACGTTATGGGCAAGGCGGCAGTTGCATGGAACAACCTGAACCTTTTACATATCACAATACTTTCCTACTGTGTGACCGCTTAGAGGCATATGTCCTGGAGACTGCTGGGCCCTACTGGGCAGCAGAGAGGATCACTGGTGAGATGTTACACTGATTTCTGCATTGTTTTAACTACTTTATAACAAACCTATAGTATGATATAAGTTGCGTTTTTTTAACTTTGTTTGTTTTTCATTTGTTCCTACCTCTGCAGAAGGTGCAAGGAATATCTCTAACCAGCTGAGTGTGGTTAAACCATGGAAGGAGCACCCTCAGCTCCGCTCACATGCCATGGCACAAGGCTGGTGGGATGGCGAGGGAGAATTCAATTTCAGTGCTGTGTATTCTCTGGAAAAGCAGCCAGTGCGAATGGAAGCAGCAAAGAAGAGATACAAAGCAGGACAGGAACTGTTGCAGAAGATAGAAGGTAAGAAGCAAGTGGAAGGCAGGTGAGAGTTTGTAGGAAAGATTATGGGGAAGATGAAATATATCTAGGAACTGCTAATAAAATAAAGAGGGAAGAAAATAAGTGAAACGTATGTGCAAGATATTTTCTTGTTACCACTCTACTCATCTGGTGATCCCTAGGAAAGATTACAGTCGAGTCTATGATGGAGATTTTACGCGACAAGAACAGTGGCATTTGTATGGATTCTGTTCGCCACCGTACCACAGCCAGTATGGTGTCTGTGCTTCCACGTTGCCCCGACTCACCCTGTATTCATCTACTGACTGCGACACCAGACCCATCCAGGTGAGAGACAACTGCAGGATAATGTGTTATCATCAAGTTCCATTGAGTTTAATCCCTCCATCCTTTATGCTATACATGTCTTCCTCTATTTGCTGTAGGTCGGTGTTCAAGCCTTTTGTCTTTAACTTTGTGGTGTCACAAGTACCTTGGGTACTGTCACCCATATTTGGAGACAGGGATCCTATCAGACAGAATCCTCGGTTCCAGACTCAGGTTGATCGCAGGCATGAGCTGTACATACACCATGAGAGAGTACTGGAGACCTCTGAAGTCACACAGGTACAAAAAGAATGATAAGGCAGTTCAAGAGATAGAGGCAGTAGTTAGAGGTAAGAGTGGATCATTTTGGGGGAAAAAAAGCCACAACTTCAGTTCCAGTGAAATGACCAAGTTCTTCCTCTTCTGCTGATGTCACTCCCCCTAGCTGGAGTGGGAGAGAGGTCAGACTGAGAGGAGTACATGGATGGCACAGGGGCCAAGCTGCCATTGGCTTTCTGGTGCCAGTATGCAATTTTGCACAGAATTAGCCAGGCCAGAACTCTTGTTCTTGACTAGTGATGTCCTGAACGGTTCGCTGCGGACGGCGAACATATGACCCTGTACCTCACAGTCAGCAGACACATTCCAGCCAATCAGCAGCAGACCCTCCCTCCCACCTCCTGGACAGCTCACTAAGAATGCAGCTTCAAAATGGATGCTGTTCAGGAGGTGGAAGGGTCTGGGAGGGAGGGTCTGCTGCTGATTGGCTGGAATGTGTCTGCTGACTGTGAGGTACAGGGTCATATGTTCGCCGTCCGCGGCGAACCGTTCGCGACATCACTATTCTTGACTATTCAATGATGTTGCGTTGATGTGGTTTATCTATGAAATACATTTTAGGTTTGTATTTCTTTTTTGGTAGGATGCAGAACAAAGATTACATGTCAAACAAAGAGAGCTGGAGGATGAGAATATCCACTTGGTCAAAAAACTGCTAGAGAAGAATGAGACACATGACTCCATAGAGCTGACTGACCTCTTTCTGAAAAGTGTGGAGAAGGAATTATTACTATACAGAGGGGAAACCGTGTAATTAAACCATGTCATAAATAAAACATATCATCACTATAATAAAACAACTGTTTAATATATTATACACATCTTCGAATACCAATCAACAATTACAATATCTTCAGCAGAGGAGTAATTTACATCACTTTCTCAATCTGGGTCTATGTGAAGCTGTACGTGTCTTCTCTGTTTGTTGTGATTGAACTGTATTGTTTACAGTTTTTCCTTTATTTGAGGGAGCAGACACAGCCTGTCTCCCATTGCACGCAACTGAAGAAGAAGCAGATACACCCTGTGCTTTACATGGATTTTGGGCAGTGTTAGATATCTTTTGGGGCAAACCTCCAGAAAAGGATAAGTTAGCACCTAATTTAGATCTGGTCCCTGATGAAGATGAGATTCTACTAGAGGCCTGTGTGGCTGTAACTTTAGGTTTAGTGGAGGGTTTATTGGCTGACATTTGAGACATCCTAAAAGTTGTTTTTTCAGATGAAATTGATGGCTGTGAATTTTTGGTAGTGGACTTAGGATCACTACTGGTGGGTAGTGTTTTAGATTTTGTTACAGATTGTGGATTTCTTGTCTCAGGTGAAAAAGGGTGGCAGGAATCTCTTTCAGTTGAAAGAGGGGTTAGTAACTCATGGGTGTCCTTTAATTCTTCCAGACGGTCTTGGTGCTCTCTTAGTGCTCTCTCTCTTCTCAGATAAGATCGTTGCTGCAGCTCGTGAGAAATAGAGCTAAGGCCTTCTGGGGAGGAAAGGAGAATATTGGCAATCAGTTGCAGGTTGTATCTGGGTGAATGTCCAGCACCAGTAGATCAGTAGATCACCAGAGGGAAATAGCTAAGAAATTAAGTTTCCTAAAATGTGACCTTCATAAACAACACACTTTTCCTTAAAGGGTACTCTAAGCAGTATATGGGTCAATGTAGTGGTAAAAGGGCAGAGTTTTCGGGCACTGTCCATCCAGGCTTGTATAAAACTATTTTCCACAGAGTAAATCTATATGTCATATTGATATTATGTTTAAATAGTGACACATTTTAAACATATTTTACATTGGAACTCTTCATGGTAAAAGCCTACAGGAATTTAATATAAACTACCTCTTCTATTCTTCTTTTTGTGTCATTTATAAAACAAGATTCATAAATCTCCACAAACAAAGGAGAAAAAAAAAGCAACACTAGTATTTTGGGGGAGTGGCTTAAATGAAGATCCTACATTTTAAGTAGTCAAACATTTCAGAATCTCCTCACCTGCACAACCTCCATCAGAGAGTCAGTAGCTCCTAAGCAGGAGTTTTTGCTAGTTCTCCTGAGCGAAGTACTGCAGTGCAGGGCTAGCTCATTGGCTGAGAGCATCAATAGATAATTTTCTGCACTGGTGGGCTTAGCTCTCTGGCAGACATGGGGCAGGCAGGAGCGAAGTCAGGTGGTTCCCAAATCTAAAACAGTTTGACTACTTACAATGGGGTGAGGAGTCATGCTGTAATGGTGATGTTCCTTTAAGGTATGGCTAGGATATGTGGGATTACAGAGTGTTTTTTTTTTAATGACCTACTGACCTAAATCTGGAAGTTATCAAACATTATAACTAGTGCAGAACAACAAGAGATGTTAGGTTACAAAATAACAGCAGAGGAAAGAAGTTGGTTAACGTGTTAAAATAGAAATACTGATACAGAAGGAGTCTCAAGACTTATGTCATTTCTCCCTTACTAATATTGATGCAAAAATGTTTGCTAACAGTTTGGCTCTCTGTTCAAAGCCCATATTGCCAATCCCTGGTTCAACTGGACCAAGCTTTATTCCAGAAAGTTAGGCACTGGATAATATCACATGAAGACGGATCTAGTCCACTTAATTGCAGTCTCTGGTACTGCTGCTATACTTTCACCTGGATGCTGATAAGGCTTTTGACCAGGTCGACTGGGACTACCTCTAGAAGACCTTGGCATGGTTTGGATTCTGGGTAGAAGGGGAGTCCAGGCCTTGTATTCAGGCCCAGGATGCTAGGATGGATGCTGAAAGGTCATTGTTTAAATATTTTAAATCTTTTTTGAATTATTGCCACTCACTCAGTGGGAATGTGGCCATGCTGCAGAAAGACATTTACTATTTAATCTCGGAGGGTAGAAGGAGTTAGTTTTCCAAGTCCCAATTTCATCAGTTAACGGGAGTAGGAGGACTATCCAAAATGTATTTACTTATTATAAGATCGCCCAAGTCACACTTTTGTTCAAATAAGTCTGATTATTAACAGGGCTTGATTGGTGATGTTGGGCGAGGAGATGGGACAAACTGGTCCATTGCATAGGATTCTCTGATAAACCCAACTCTCATACAGTCTCACCCTAGTCTGCTGTTACAGAATTCTTTATGTATCTGGAGGAACTGCAGTGTTGTGGGTGGTCTCTACTCAGAGGGCAACAAGTTAATTCCTCGCTTTTATATTTTGGCATTTTTCTAAGACGGTCTGACCTTCTGCTTTCCAGTTTTGATCTTAATGTGAATAACCCTGTTAGGAGTGAACCTAAAGCTATATTCTTAACATGTTCTTCTTCCTTTGAAGAGTCAGGACCCCCTAAATAAAATTAAAAATGTGCAGCTGACTGCAGCTCCAGTGACATCATCCCGCAGGCTATCTCATCTTTGTCTTCTTGTCCAATCCAATGTGTATCCTATAAAAGCATCATATCCACTGCTTCCCTACTATCAGCAATTGATGACATTCAACATTGACCATCATATGATAGAAACATTTAAACACATAAAGGGAATCAACACAGTAAAGGAGGAGACTATATTTAAAAGAAAAAAAAAAAAACTACCACAACAAGAGGACACAGTCTTAAATTTGAGGGACAAAGGTTTAAAAATAATATCAGGAAGTATTACTGAGAGGGTAGTGGATGCATGGAATAGCCTTCCAGCTGAAGTGGTAGAGGTTAACACAGTAAAGGAGTTTAAGCATGCGTGGGATAGGCATAAGGTTATCCTAACTATAAGATAAGGCCAGGGACTAATGAAAGTATTTAGAAAATTGGGCAGACTAGATGGGCCAAATGGTTCTTATCTGCCGTCACATTCTATGTTTCTAATAAAACTTGGTCATAACTGAGGAAGCACTCTCTAGTGGCCTGTTAGCTTTGCAATGAAAACATTGTTGTATCTACAAAAAGGCAATTTTCTACATTGCAGTACTAAAAGGACAGGCCTTCAACACTCTCACCACTTCAATGAGATGGTTGTCTATTCAGACATCCATCTATTGTTGTCCATTGCCCATGAACTTGATGGCTCCCTTGTTTATTATTCTTTAGGACTTCTCGCTTAGATTACTATTTTGTGACTCTGGTAACTTGTGTTTTTTGATCTTTTCATTTTAATTAACAAATTCTCAATAGAGTGTTAATTAAGAAAAAAAAATAAATAAAGGAAAGAAAGAAAAAAAAAAAAGGACTGCTGATTTCTCCTTTTTAAAATACATTGTACCTGGTCTGAAATCATCACTATCAGAGCTGTTGTTCTCCTCTATTTCATGATTAGAGATCTCCATTAGAGATTCTAGATTAGACTTGTCTCTCACGGTCTCCTTGTCAAGCTCTTGAAGAAGTGGCAGACCCTTCAGTACTTCCTGTCTGAAAATTGACCAGATAAAACCATAATTATCCTCTTTGCAACAGTTTTTATTATTATATATAACAATCATTTTAAACATAGGATGCATAGCTAGCATGTAAATTAGTACAAACAAGATTACGGTCTTTAAATTGTGCTTGGAAAATAATGCATATTAATTGTATTCACCCTCTACAGCAGGGTTCTCCAAACTCTGGCCCTCCAGATGTTGCTGAACTGCAACTCCCATGATTCTATGAAAGAAACAGATAGCACGAGAATCATGGGAGTTGTAGTGCAGCAACATCGGGAGGGCCAGATTTTTGGCAAACTCTGCTCTAGACAAACAGAGGGAGTGAGTTAAGCAGTATTAGGGATTATAGTATAATTTATTGTCCAATACAACTTTTATAGGTTCAGCAAAAATAGCATAAAGACAACAGTTTGTATTTTTTTAAATGTTGTATACTAAAATGGACAACTCCAACTATTACCTGGCGGCACAACTAGCACAGATCGCCATGTGGCACTCGACACCTGACGAACGCAGATGGGCAGATCTAGAATCTGGTATGATGGGAGCAGACCTACCCCAATTCTATATTTGGCTACTGAGAGAACATAGGGCATTCCTACGCAATCTTAATCTCAATCTTAATCCTACGCAATCAGTGCCCTGCAATCTTAAACTCCCTCCGGGTCCCCTGAATATAAATTAACAACATCACCCTTACCAATGATGCCAGTTCTAAGGAATAAGGCATTCCCCCCAGGAATGCACGCCCGTAACTTCAAAAACATAGAGGGCTCAGGCCTACAGAGAGCGGTCCACCTGTACAAGGGAAACCAAGTAGTGACATTCGAGGCACTGATGGAAAGGACCCGATTAAAACCCTCAGATTTCTTTAGGTACATCCAACTCAGGGACTTCGCACAACACAACCTGGCAAAAACGGCAGCTCATACTACACGGGCTTCGAACGAATGTGCCTCAGAAAACCCCCCCCGAAGGGACTCATCACCTCTCTATACGCTCACCTAAGCTCCAATTACACAACGCAGTGGGAATCAGACCTAGGTGAGGTCCTGGAGGGCACGGACTGGAGGGAAATATGGGAAGCGAATAAGGCTACCTCAATATGCGTCACACAGAAAGAACAAGCATACAAAACCATGTTTAGATGGTACACTACCCCAGTAAAGCTGCACCACATGCACAAGACTCCAGACGACTTTTGCTGGAAGGGTTGCGGACACAAAGGGACATACAAACACATGTGGTGTGATTGCCCGAAAGCACAGGCCTTCTGGAGGGAGGTGGGGAGCCTGCTGGACAGGGTATTCCAGAGACGAGTAAAAATAGACCCATAGGTGTTCCTACTATCCAGAACAGTAGACGATTGGCCAAGAAGGGAACAGAAACTCCTACATAAACTCACCTTGGCAGCCAGGCTCACCATGGCACAAGCATGGCTCAAACCTGACATCCCACACGTTCATACACAAAATAAAAGACACCAATGTAATGGACCATCTCACGGCACTGGTGAGAGGTACAGTGAAATCATATGAAAAGGTCTGGGAGTTGTTGAAGGCTGGGGACTGGGGGAGCTAGGGGTGGGAACTGGGAGGGGGAAACACTTTCCCCTACGCCCGGTTAAAAGAATCCCGCCTCGGGTCGCCAGGCCCCAAGGCCTATGAACCCACGACTGCCACAAGACTCCTGCCGGGCCGACTGATCTAGGGGGGCCAGAACCTGTCTGAAAAAGTCGACCAAATCCAACTGAAACATCTATGTTGCTCCGAATGCCGACCATGAGAAAGACAACACTCCACCCTACCCCCCTTCCTTGTTCCTCTTATTCTTTTTCCCCTACCTCTTCTTCTACCATTGCTGGAAAGAGTGCCTTCAGCCCACATACAAAACTAAACACGCAGCTCCAACCGTGATGTAACGGTGACTGTAAAAGAGGGCACGCTCTACAATGATCCTGGTTATATTACTATGTTAAATGTTTGGGGGAAATGGTGTTGTCAATATGTGACTTCTAACAAGAGACAGGGTGGTAAACAACAGGGAGCACCTGATAGTACCTTGTACCCATGTCAAAAATTCATGTACTGCACAATGTTTATTTTGTTACTACGATGTATTGCAACGGCACACCAAAAATAAAGAATTTAAAAAATAAAATGGACAACTCAATGTATGGAAAAAGATAAAGGGTAGGTGCTGGATCCAAACAAGTCCACTCTACAAGTTTTTACCAACCATATAAAACTCAATAAGAAAAATAGGATCCACACACGGAAACAGGAATACTTTTAAATATACGTTTTATTGAGAAAACTTTTTTTTGAGATTTTTTTTTTTTTAGATATTTTTAAATGATTTACAAGTTTAATTGCAAAACAGAGATATATTAATATTGGTAAATATGGCTTATAAAACTCTTACAATGCTCAAAAAAATTATTAAACAACAATATAGTAGCTAATGGCAAATATTTTAAGACAAAAAACATGCCATGAATAATTCTAGCCTACTGTTGTAATGATATATATAGGTTAGCCTCAGATATGCATATACATTGTTAAATCACTGTATAAAATTCAAACAGAGCATAGCACAAACAACGCATTTGATAAAACACAACTAGCACATTTCCATTCAAAAATCATTAAATGGAATAAGTTTCCTGAAGCTATAATAGCCAATAACAAAAATATCATTTTTATTTATTTTTTAAATTGGGAGAACTCAATGTTATGCTATTTCTCACAAGTCCATGTGTAAGCTCACAGCGGGAATGTTTGAATTTGTGCCAAAATCATATAACAAGGATTTAACAAGGATTTGTGCCGGAATGGCATTGCAAGGCCATATGCGTAGATACCTAACTGATGCTTTCTGGTAGCAATTATGGACACAGGCAGCTACACGTGCAGACTGGAGCAGCCCTTCAAAGGCCTAAGACGTATAAAATTATCAATGTATCAATGAGATTGTAGGTGTCTGCATGTGAGTATGCTTACTCTATAATTAAATTTTTTACATTGACAGAACCAATATTTTGAACTAGAAAAAGAAACATATTAATAATATACATATACTTACACAGACACACACACACACACACACTACATGGCACAATGACTTATGGGACTGGTATATATTTTTTCCAGGGCTGCTTTGTAATTCCCAGTCCTGCCCTGCAAAAAGGGGCAGAGCATGGATGTCATTACAAATATGCCCCCCCCCCCTGGAAAAATTCCTGCGGACACACATTTCCTAAAATATTCCATAAGCATCTTTTCCTTCTTACTCATTCCATGCTTGTTATTCAGCAGAAATGGATGCAGTTACTTACCTATGTAGACTCCTGTACAGTGCACGAGGATAATAGGGAACAGTTATTGTTCTACACAATGCGTAGGGAATTGTTCTACACAATGCGTAGGGACTGACTGAATCATAGAAGGGAACATTTCTATGAAGTGTGAGAACCACAATGGAATAGATGGGGATTTGCATTGCCAAATAATCCAAAACAGACGCATCCCTGCGATTTAAGTGATTAATGAATATAATATGTGAATCTCACAATCTCAGACCTTACGATGCCAAGATCCCTCTTACCTGTAGCCGTTTTTCTGTGTGCAGGTATTCCCTGTCAGGTCCAAGATAAGTAACCCTGGGGGAAATTCTCCTGTGCGCAAAACAAGACATCAGTAATTAGGATTAGGCATTGTTGGCTAGCCTTGACTCTGCTCATATTAGTGGACTACATTTCCCATGTTGCTAAGCAAGTGTGAAGTCAAAGACCAGTAAAGTATTGAAAATGTAGTCTATAAATATTTATAGTGGAAGGTTTGCTATCACTAGGTTTGGGTCTCAAAAACCAACCTTAAAGGTTGCATATTTAATGGCTGTCACACACTCCCTATCACTTTCATACTCACAAAACCACTCTGTGTATGTCCCTTCGGTTTACACACTTACCTGTATGTATATATTGAATTAAATTGTGCGATAAATCCAAAAACTTCAGATTATGCAGAGACTTTAGATTTGCAGCTTCCTCGATCCTGTTCCCCGAGAGGCTCAAAAATCTTTAATATATAAATGTACCCATTTAAATCAAAACAATGATAATAATAATAATAATAAAAAAATATAAAACAAAATATGTACATTATTGTTCTTTAAAATACTGAGGCTGCTTTCAATTTCCCATTGTGATACTTGAAGGCTTACACACACACACACACACTATACATACATTAAAAAAAAGAGGAAACAATGGGATACATGGAGGGGAGAGAGAGAGGGTATGGGACACAGGAAGGGGAGAGAGATGGAGGGTATGGAACACAGGAAGGGGAGGGGGGAGATGGAGGATATGGGACACCTGGAGGGAGAGAGGGAGGGTATGAGACACAGAGAGGGGAGGGGGTTGAGAGGTAAAAATGAGACTCAAGGAGGGATGGGGGAAGAGATGAAGGGTATTTTACAAAGGAAGGGGAGGGGGAGAGATGTGGGTATGGGACACAGGGAGTGGAGGGGGAGAGAGGGAACAATGGGACACATGGAGGGGAGGGGAGAGAGGGAGGGTATGGGACATGGGACACATCGATGGGAGGGAAGAAGGGAGAGAGGGTATTAGATACATGGAAGGGAGGGGGAGAGAGGGCAGAATAGGACACATGGAGGAGGGGAGAGAGGCCGGGTATGGGACACAGGGAGGGGAGAATGACAAATGGGACACATACAGGGGCTGGGAGGGAGGAGGGTATGAGAAACATGGAGAGGCTAAGGGGAGAGGGAATGGGACACATGAAGAGCTGGAGGAGAAGGAGCCATGGGACACATGGAGGGGCTGAGGGGGGAGAGGGAATGGGTCACATGGAGGGGCTGTGGGGCAGAGGGAATGAGGCACATGGGAGGGGGCTGGGAATGAGACACCGAGGGCGGGGAGGGGGGGAGACACATGGGAGGGTACCCCAGGGCAATTTTTGCACCAGGGCCCAGTGGATTCCAGTTACATCTCTGCCAGTCACACAGTACACTTGTGTGGCTTCTGACTGTGTAAAGGTTCCATACAGTTCATTTGCTGTAGTTTGGACTCAGTGGTGTTTGTATACTTACTGTTCTGATTTTTAATTGCTGAATCTTTTGACTCTTATTATTGTGTAATGATCTCCTATTTGCCCCCACATTCTGGCTATTAAGTAATGAGAGAAGACTTGAAAAGATGCATGTGTTTACAGGACAGCTATAACAATATACACTATGTGGCCAAAAGTATAGAGTGTACAGACACATGACAAAGACACTATATGAGCTTTTTTTTTAGACATTTCATTACAAAATCACAGGCATTGATAAGGAGTCAGTCAGCCTTTTCCAGCTATAATAGCTGTAGCGGATGGCACTGGGCTGTCCTGAGAAATTACATGTATTTAAATGCATTCGTGTAAAGTAACTAAGTTCTATGTGTTAAATATATTGTATTCGTCTAAATGTTAGGTAGTTTCATTCCCTTAGTTTGTTCGAATGAAACTACCGAACAGTCAGACCTCCCCTGTGTGAAGTGTGCCTTCAATTACCCGTTGCAACATTGTTGCGAACGGGTAATTGACAAGCTGAGTAGCCGTCCTTTGTTCTCGGGGGTGGCTGCCATTCGAAAAACGAACACGTGGCGGTGGCCATTTTAAAACTCCTGAACAGCGGTGTTTTGCCGTCGAGTGTCGGTAGATAGAAAGATAGAAAGAACCGAACGTTCGGTAGATAGAAAGAACCGAACGAGGGGATTCAGGCGAACCCTCCCTAGTCTCTGTAGCTAGAGGCTTTCGTGCCGTTTATTCCCTGACTCCAGGACCGACCGCAGGGCCCATTCGCATGGAACCTCATTCGGCTGTTCTATCCAGTGCAGTCGGTCATTTTATTCCCTCCATGAATTTCCCGAACCCCTGGTCTGATCTGGGTGATTTTTGGATATGTTGTTCACCCAGATCAGGGCTACCAGGGGATGTATAATTTAAAGTGGTACCCCTAAGTTTAGGAGTACATCCAGAAACGGGGGGAATTGGTGTGCTGGATAAGGGGATTATGATGCAGGCTGAGGGGAGGAGATGTGTGGGAGGTTACCAGAGCAGGATTGGCTACTGTACTAATGAATGGAAATCCCTCCCTTGCATTGGAGCATGCTTTAAAAGGCCACTGTCTGAATAAATCTTTAGTTCTGCTCCTGAAACTGGGTGTCGTCCAGTTATTGGGATTGCTGTTGGATAGTGCTGTGTTATTTTGCCTGCTGGATACTTTACCCTATGGATTTATAATTGCTTGTTCCTGAACCTCCCTGGGATCCAAAGTGGAGATAGGCTGTGTAATACCAGCTCTCCGCTACAATAGCAACCTCTCATCTGGGAAGTTTTCCAAAAGATTTCAGCTGAGGTATGGCACTGATGTTAGACTACAAGGTCTGACATGCAACTTGTATTCTAGTTCATCCTGTGTTCAGGGGGGCTGAGCTGATTCCTCCATGCCAAGCTCGTTAAACCATGTCTTCATAGGGTTTGCCTTGCACACAGGAGTACAATAATGCTGGCACAGGAAAAGTCCTTCCCCAAAATGCTGCTACATATTGGACACACCCAATTGTCTAAAATGTCTTTGTTTCCTGTAGCATTAAGATGACCTGCCACTGGAATTTAGGAGCCTATCCCAAATCCTGAAGAAAACCATTATCAGTCCTCACTAAAACTTTGCAGTAAGCACTATGTATTTTGGTAGACTGGTGTTGCTCCTAGATGCTTCCACTTCACAATAATAGATAGCACTCACAATTGACCTAAGACAGTTGATACTGACAGTGAATTGTTAAATGTCACTGTGCTCTTTCAGATAACCAATTTCACTGCCAGTATTTTTCCAGGTAGATTTCATGGCTGTGTGATGGAAATTATATACATATTAGCAATGAACTCAGTAATTAATAGAGTGGTACACATACATTTGGCCATAGAGTGTATATATAATTGTGTTAATTTTACCACATAATAAAATGCAAATGTATTCAGGTAAGTTTTCTGTATGACCATTTGCACCTCTCGCTAGAAAAATGTTTACAAATAGAAATTTTGGAAATAGACTGCCATTTGGGCCACATACAGAGTTTGACTCAGAAATTATACACTAATTGTACTCGTGTAGACAGTACTAAGGTAGACTGATACAAGACTGTTGCTTACAGGATATCTGCTACTTACCGGAGATTTTTAAGGACATCTAAATTTTGAATCTTCCTTATTAGGTTCTAAAAATAAACAACAACAACGAGTAGAGATATGATGAAATTTATTGAATAGCTGTAGAATATTTTCTCCTGAAAGTAAAAGCTATTTCCTGACAGAGGAAAAACAAATCACAATATGACCAGTCGGTAAGTTACCTCCTGTAGATACAAACTGTGTATCTCCTGCACACATTCTAGATTACCCAAGCATGTGATCCCCTCTCTGTCCAGCCGAACAGTGCTCAAACTCAGAAGTGATCTACGCCTAAAGGAAATAAAATGTAAGTAAAATCACACACAGTATTAGACAGACACTGTGTGTACCCAGTCAGACATGTACATAATGTAGTGTCACTCACAATTCGTCCCCTGTATCGTGGTGTAATGCTGGATCCAGGTTCCTCTTTGCTATGGTAGCCAAAGTGACATTCTGTACATCCTTTGCTTTTGAAATGCCTGTAACAACAGAGCCATAACCAAGGTCTCTAAGGAAATTGCTCAGATATTTTTGCCTAAAATGAATAATTCTTGGATTAGTGAATAATCAAGAATGTGTTTGTTCAAGGTATGGTTGATCAACTGGGCATTATTACAAGCTGACAATGTGATCATGCATTGTGAGGTTCTCAACGTACAGAGGTACTGCTCTTATTTGATACCTGAATCATGGTGTCCAGGGTTACCCCTGGTTCTTTGGTGCTGAAAAAAGATGAAACTTGTCTTCATGAACATGAGGTAAGACAACACATTATAGGGATTACTGTGTGGGGAGACTCTGTTTAACACAGCCTCCCAACTTACTGCCACTCCCCCAAACAAACACATCTACATACACTGTCACCCCTCACTCACTCTGCCACAGTCATTCACCCACCATTCTTATCTACCCTTACCACACCTCACTCTGTCACAATCACACTCACCTTCCTACCTCGCCATACTCACCACCCTGCCATACTAACCCTGTAACAAACACCCCTCATCATTGTTACACTCATCACACCTCACCCTGCCTCACACCTGTCCCATTTACCCTCTAACTCTGTCACCCTCACACTGCCACTGTTACACACTGAAGATTGTCATTGTCATACAGAGTCACCTTCCACACATGAAACACAGCCTCACCATAAACACAACCAGCGGCGTACATAGCGCGGTCGCACGCGTCGCAGCTGCGACCCGGCCCATCACTCCAGGGGGCCCGGCCGCCCTGTGGACCCCCTGTGACCGGGTACCAGCTGCCATGTTTTGCTACCCAGCCCGTGCTGCAAACCGCCGGGGCCGCATGTTAACGGGTCCATCGGGTGGCCCATGCTGTCAGGGCCACCCGATGGATATGGATTGTCAGGGGGCCCAGTCAGCAGCCAGCGCTGACCGGGCCCCCTGTGATGACATCACTGCTGGGAGGAAGTGACTCACCGGTCACTCCTCCCAGCATTCAGAGAGCCCGCACGGGAGGAAGCAGGAGGGAGTTTAGAGTGGGAACTCTGACTCCCATCAGGCTGAGCCACCACTGGACCCCAGGGAAAGTCACAATAGGTAGAAAACATTTTGTGTATGTGTGTGTGTGTGTGTCTCTGTGTGTGTATGTGTGCATGTATGTGTGTGTGTATGTATGTATGTATGTGTGTGTGTCTCTGTATGTGTTTTTGTGTGTGCCTCTGTATGTATGTATGTGTGTGTGTGTCTCTGTATGTATGTGTGTGTCTCTGTATGTCTGTGTGTGTCTCTGTATGTATGTGATTGCATGTGTGTCTCTGTATGTATGTGTCTTCATGTGTGTATGCAGGGCCGCCATCAGGGCATGACAACCATGACGGTTCTCAAGGGCCCGGCTGTCCTGGGGGGCCGGGACTGCTCAGGGCGTCCCGGGCCCCACATTAGCTATGTGCACACATATATAGCGATTAACGCTATATGTGTGTGCACTGCGGGCCCCCACTACCTGTATTTTGCAGGGGGCCCAGCACACTTGAAATACACTGCCCAGATGCTCTGCTCTGTCGAAGTCTCACGATCGTCAGAGCGTTGCCGCTCCGCGCGGCTTGCGAGACTTCGACAGAGCAGAGTAGCTGGGAATTATATTTCAAGTGTGCTGGGCCCCCTGCAAAATACAGGTAGCGGGGGCTGCACCATGCCTCAGGACCTCCAGGTCCAGACAATGTGATCTCCCCCCTCCATGGCCACAGGGAGGGGGGAATAAATCATTACAATTAACGTAAGGAAAAAAATACTGTAGGCTGTTCCCCCCACATTATGCAGCCCCATACATTTACACACACTACACACTAACATTTACACACACACTATCCACTAACATTACCACGCACTATACACTAACATTTACACGCACTATTCACTAACATTTACACAAACTACACACTAACATTTACACACACTACACACTAACATTTACACACACACACTACACACTAACATTTACACACACTATTCACTAACATTTACACACACTATTCACTAACATTTACACAAACTATACACTAATATTTACACACACACTACATCCTTACACAAACACACACTCTGCAGTCACTACACACACTACATCCTTACACAAACACACACTCTGCAGTCACAACACACACACTCTTCAGTCACTACACACAGTCTGCAGTTCACTATACACACATACACTACATCCACAAACTGTATTCACTAAACACTACATCCACTACACAAACACAGACTCTTCATTCACTATTCACATCGCATTAAATACACACAAACACTACATCCACTACACAAACACACACTCTGCATTCACTATAAACACACACTACATCCACTACACAAACACACACTCTGCATCTAATATACACCTCATACATTACACAAATGTACAATCTGCATCCACTATACACAATGCATCTGTTAAACACACACCGCATCCACTTTACACACGAACTCTGCATCCACTACACACATTCTACATCCACTATACACACACACCAGAATCAGTACACACACTGCATCCCGGGGGCCCAGACCTTGAGCTGTGTCAGCGGCCCCAAAATTTCTGATGGCAGCCTTGTGTGTATGTATATATGTATGTGTCTGTCGGGTGTGTGTGTATGTGTTTGTGTCTGTATGTATGTGTCGGGGGGCCCACGGACAGGGGGGAGAGGATCAGGGTACAGGGGAGGGGAAGAGGGAAGGGCCCACGGATCAGTTTTGCACCGGGGCCCCATGGATTGTGTGTACGCCACTGAACACAACACACAAAGACCACAAGCAGCACCCCTTACACACAATACAACTCAAGCAACTAACTCACACAGATACGCTAGCAGACACATAAGGATGCTCAGGCACATACACAGGTATACAATGCCACGGTTACAAATACACTCAGTAAGAACTCCACACACAGTTGCAGGCACATACCTGGAAGACAGACACACTCAGTCAGAAATGCATACACACTCTCAGGCACTACACCTGCTTTCACACACACCACTGACTCAGACACAAAACCTAGGGCTCTAGGAAGGGGCCCAATCGGGCACCTAGGGTAATGGACAACCTTAATTTAGCTCTGAATTCACACTTTAGTTAATAACCCATTAAGTGTTCTTCAGTAGTGTAACATCCAGATAAGTGAGTGTTTGCAAGTAATAAGTGACATTCTCAAAAAGCTGTAAATATTCAGTAGTGTATGGTACAGCAGATTGTAAAATAGAAACTTGAAAATTCATTGCATTGGGATGAAGTATCTCTTCACTCCTGACTACCAACTATTACACAAACTCCAAATATTTTAAATACAAAGCAAAGAGTAAACTATTTAAACCATGACAAAACCAAGCACTAAATTAAAAATTTAACATATTTTATTGTTGTGAAGAAATGTGAAAACAAATGTGAAACAAATATCATAGCTATGTCCTATTTTGAGCTCCTAATAGTGATGCAGCAAAACAGAGAGAATTGACAGAGGGCTCTTGATTTGAAAGAGGGCAGTTTTTATAACATTTAAAATATCTGCATTTAAAGGAATGTTTTGTTTTTTTCCGAATTAATGGACAATTGTTGAATCAACACAATGTCTTAATAGGATAATCCTTCCATTTCAGTTTTTCAGATAATCCATTCCATGTTCATTATATGACAGGATTCTTCAGCCATAAACATGCAGCTTGGGTCAGACAGTGCATGAAAAACCACGGTTAGTCTCTTTGTGGTCTTCCCAACTTCACTCCCTGCACAGTGCAGTGACATCAGACTGACTGTCATAATCAAACACTGTCTGACCCAAGGTACATGTATATGGATAGGGAAGCTGTTATGGACTAAAAGGGATGAGGGATCAGGGATGAGTATTTCTTCTTTTTTTTTTTACCACATACTTTATTATTATTTTATTTTTTTAAAACATTATTTTTTTTTTTAAAACATATATTTCCTTTCAGTACTTGATAAAATGATTATTATATATAAAAAAAAAAAAAAATAGTGTTGAGGTGACAGTTCTCCTTTAAAAAATCATTATTGTACACTAAATAATTTTGTGAACCTCCAATTGTTTTTTTTTTTTGCTGTCCTATTTAATCAACATACTGAATATTGCATTATATTCGTACACATACAACAATACAGTATATTGAATCATTTCTATAGACTGTAAGCTCGTTTGAGCAGGGTCCTCTTCAACCTATTTTTCCTGTAAGTTTTCTTGTAATTGTCCTATTTATAGTTAAATCCCCCCTCTTATAACATAGTAAAGTGCTACGGAATCTGTTGGCGCCATATAAATGGCAATAATAATAGCTAATAATATATTATAAAAACGCAGTAATGGAGAACATGTCATTAAAATTAAATGATCAGAGCCTTGTCAGGTGTGGACGCCTTGACTGACCTCCTGCGATGTCCGTTGCTCTTGTATTAGTTATTATTAGCACTCGGTAACCTTGATTCATACTATGTAGTATTCTGTGTTATGTTCACGTGCCGGTGCGGCACTTGATTTTTTTGTACAAATTTGTGTTTTTTATCCTGTATTATTTATCTTCTCCTGAGGAAGTCTACATTTAGTAGACGAAACGCGTACAGCTGATATTGTTATTTCATTTTACTTTTTAATTGCCTGACATTCCTGTGACTGACCTCCACCATATACCACCTGGAAAGAGGGACGCAGAGTTTGTGTTGATGGGCTTTTTTACTACACACTGTTTGTAAGTGTATCGTAATAAAGCGTGTGATTTTCACTGTGCTCTACTATGTCCTTTTATATTTCTGTCTGCATGCATCCTTGGACACTGAGATCTGAGAAAGGACTAACCCCTGAAGATTTAAAGCGATATTGATGGGCTTGAAAAATTCATGCAGTCTGTGAGTGCATTTTAATATCAAGGGGTCTATTGTTGTTGTACGGTGTTTCCCTATGAGTTTTTCTCTGTTTTTTTTCTATTTAGATGTATCTTTTATCCATATATGTTTTTGAGGATTTAGAGGAATCCTTTGTTAAAAGGATTGTAAAAAGGGAAGTAACTACCTTTTCTAATTTTTATTGTATATTACTGCACCTGAGTGGTCTATATCTGTTTTTGCTATATAAATGGTGGTAATAATAATTAGTTAATATGAATAGCTAATGAATGATATATTATAGAAACGCAGTAATGGAGAAAATGTCATTAGAATTAAATGATCAGAGCCTTGTCAGGTGTGGACGCCTTCACTCACCTCCTGCCATGTCCTCTGCTCTTGTATTAGTTATTGTTAGTTATCCAGCACTCGGTAACCTTGATTCACACTATGTAGTATTCTGTGTTATGTTCACGTGCCGGTGCGTTCTCCTGTTGCTAGGATACCCCGGTCTCCCACAATCCTACGCGCGGCTTCCAGGCTGTCAGTTCCTGTAAGATGGCAGCCTCCTTGGTGCGGAGAGCAGGCGGACAGCTGGGTAAGGCTGAGTTAGTGACTATTCAGTACCTGTCAGTGTGGTGGTTATAGTCCGCATTCCTTTATCTCCCCAGTGTTATATTATATGCTGTGTGAGAGTGAAATGATGTTCTGAAGTACTCTCACTGAAAGGTCACAGCATGCTGCTATACATGGTGTCAGTGTGCTGTCATAGATAGTAATGTGATGGTGTTATGCTATTTAAAAAAAATTAAAAATAAAAAAATTATGTGCCAGCATGATGGTACTTATAGCAATGACAATAACATCCCAGGGTTCTTCGTCATTCTAAAAAGAATGTCACACTGTGCTGTCAGACATGCTGTGTCAATGCGATTTAATATGTAAGAACATTATATTGTGTCAGCAGATGTGCATCTCATATAGCAGCGATGGCGAACCTTTTTGAGCCCGAGTGCCCAAACCGCAATACATGCCAACTTTTTTTTCCCTCAAAGTGCCGACACGGCAATTAAACCTGAATACTGAGATTTAAGTTTAGAAAAAACAACTCGTACAGTTGTCCGAACTAGTTAGCACAACAGAGAGTTCAATTATACAGATTTTAAATAATGATATTAATAGATAAAATTAAGCTTATATTTATGAGTATCTCCAACAAATGCAATGCATACACACAGCTGAACACATTCACACACACAGTCCGCTAAATACACACACACTGCTGAATACACACACATACTGCATTGAGGGGTGCAGTGTTTGTGTGTGAGAGGGGGTAGGGGTGTGGGGTGCTGTGGGGGGGAGTAGGGGTGCTGGTGTTGTGGGGGAGTAGGGGTGGTGGTGGGGTGGGGGTGCAGTGGGGTGCTGGTGTGTGGGGAGTAGGGGTGCTGGTGTGTGGGGGGTAGGGGTGCTGGTGTGTGTAGGGGTGCTGTGTGTGTGGGGGTAGGGGTGCTGTGTGTGTGTGGGGGGTAGGGGTGCTGTGTGTGGGGGGGGTAAGGGTGCTCAGTGCGGGCGTAGGCGTGCTGTGTGTGGGGGCGTAGGGGTGCTCTGTGGGGGGTTAAGATACATTAACCCCTTAAAGACCAAACATCAGGAATAAAATGGAATCATGACATGTCACACATGTCATGTGTCCTTAAGGGGGTTAAAAGTTTTTTTTTTAAAGCATATTGAAGTATCTCCCCATATAGCAGTGATGGCAAACCTTTTTGAGGGCCCCCACCCCCCCTTACTCTTACCTTTGGTGAAGGGGAGGGGGGGAACACAGCCATCCCTCGTGGTCCGGTGGTGGTAAGTATCTAGGACCGGAGCACAGGTCCTACAGCTCTCCTGTCCTCCCGCGAGATGATGTGTGGAGCATTGCCATGGTAACGCGCGGCAACGCTCCACACAGCTCGCAGGAGAACAGGAGAGCTGCTTCCTAGATGCCTCTCCCCGGGTTCCGGTCCTGCCGACACGGAAGCAGAGTAGGCACCTGCCGTTTCGGGCAGGCATGTGACTACTCTGCATTGATGCCGAACCTACGGCCGCGTGCCCACAGAAAGGGCCCAGCGTGCCACAGGTTCGCCATCACTGTCATATAGTAATGTACCACTGGGCTCTTGGTACAGCGATGGCCACAGCTGTCACAGAAAGCAATACCTGTGTGTCAAGAGATTGTTCTCATGTAGCTTGTCACAGTGAAACACTGAGTCTCAGACCAGAGAATTGTTGAAATATTCTGAAACCCATGGTGCCCCTGAGCTGCCAGGTTTGTCCCCTCTAACTGTATTTAAAAGGCAGCAAGAACACTCTAACATTTAAATACATATATGTATTTTTAATGTTGAAGTTTTCCTTTTAAAAGTATACATTTGCCATGGGTATGCACATACAAGGGCTGGAAGCCCTGATCATAAGGACAATCTGCCAGGACTCTTCACTTTTGACACTGAGTGCTATGAGGAGGGTGCCGTGCTAATACATTATGTCATATCCCAGCCCTATCTGTGCTCACGCAACTTCAACTTAGACACGCTGCCCAGACCAAATTGTCCCATGGCCATGATTCACTTCATTTATGGTAAAATGCCACCCACTTCAGATGCTGCCTGGGTTCAGTAGACCTGGTTCTGGCATTAGGGTTAGTTACTCCAAACACTATGACTATTCAGTGATTTGAATTGGTCCTGGTGTCTGGAGTATTTGTTTGTGTGTATAGTGTACAAGTATGATATTCTGTACATATGAAGTTTAACCTCTTTGCTGCTGAAGGTGTAATCCCACCTTCGGCAGCGTTATTGAGGCATCGTTAGCCAGCTAGAAACGAGTTCCAGGCTAATGTCAGTTCTGTTCAAACCTTTATGCACAGTGTGCAACTGATCGGCTGAGAGCTTTCAGCTGACGGTCTCAGTCATGAATGGCAACTGGATAGGCTTCTGCAGCTCTGTAGAAACATGTCACCAGGAGCCTTGGAGCGCAGCGTGAACCCCGGTAAGAGGGCAATATGTTGCTAGTGCGTTGCCCCCTGTTACACGGGGACCAGACCAGGATACTCATGGCATCATAACTACCACAATAGGCTGTAGTGGTTATGATGCTTGGAGTAACCATCTAACAGTAATAACTTCCAACATCTCATTCCATGTCTCCTGCCTGTGTCTTCCCTGGTGTCTCATCCATCCCTTTGTCCATTCCCTTTCTTACCCCTGGCGGCCCAAGTGTCTTGTTGCTCTACCTTCACCCACAGCTGTTCTAGTATGATATCCGTCTCTCTTCACCTCAATTGCCCCAGAGACATTTTGCTTCTTCCCCCTTAAAGTATATAGAGTTTACTTTATATCTCGTCCCTCTCCCCCTGAAATGCAAAATATTGACTAAATATGCTGAGCCTAGTTAGTAGACCTGTGTCTATTTTTTGGGGAGTGAGGGAGAGGAGTCAATGGAATATGTATTTAACAGAAGGTTACAATAAAATATGTGCATCCTACAGTGCTTTAAAAAAATGCATTTACTATTTGTCAAACATTTCTGACTTATCTGTTTGTTAGGTTCCCATTGAGTTTAATTGTACTTGACTCCAGAGCATTTCACAAAATCTACCAAAATGTTTAACAGTTTACTGGGGCATAGCATTGTGTGGAGTGAATAAGATGTTTTGCAGAGTGCTTCTATCTGAAGGGCTCTTGATTACATCACAAATAAAGTAGCATGTCAGACCACCCGGAGGCAGAGAATCCCAGACACCTGGCGAGTGTGCTCTCATCAGTTCCTGCTTATATCGGACTTTGAGTTGGGGTTAGACAAGCCCAAAGGACTGCAAGAAACTATTCCAATGAAACCATACTCTAATAGCTTTCTCTGAGGTAGCCCTCAGAGAAAGTACTCCACAAACCGTTTTATGTTCGAATTCCTCCATTTTACTAAGTCATTACCCAATTGTAGGAGGGTTAGTATTTCTCCAATATAAAAGTCCTTGCAGTATTAAATAAATGTAATTCCAATGTATTCTTAACGCCTTAAGGACACATGATGGAAATATTCTTCCATGATTCCCTTTTATTCCAGAAGTTGTGTCTTTAAGGGGTTAAATTGTTTGTGATACTTAAACAATTTAAGTGACATTACGGTAGTGTAACAATACAGAGGCCAGGTTCAACTAAAAATCGCAATCTGATAAGAAAGACACTATTTTCTTGTTTATAGACCAGAAATTAGTCAGCACCTTCCAGTCCATTTAATCCAATATCCCTCTTCAGTTTACCCAATTCCTTCTTGTTCCTCTCTTTTCTGACTTTCCCTGGTGTCATGCCCCTCTCCTCCTTCTGACTGTATGGAATTATATCTGTCTTCTCTCCCTGACTACCTGCCATATCATTCCATTCATCCTTAACCATACTGGTGTCTTATCAATTTTCTATTCTCAACCATTCAGAACTCCCCTTCCCATCCCTCAAATCTCCCCTACTGTCTGTATCTATCTTCTGGCCTCATATTCCTCAAGAACTTTCACTGTTTTATCCCTCTCTTCTTTCTTACACTCTTCTTAAGCCATGCCAATTCATACCAGCAATCCGCAATGGTAATGAGGCTTACAGCAATTCATTGCCATCCATTGTTTCTCGGACTTATGCATTCTTATTAGCCAAAGTTCCACAGAGGGGTTGGGCTGCTGAGGACTATTTTAGCATTAATTCATCAAAAATGAACCTGACAAAGGTACCATGTTAATCCACACACTAAAACCACTTCACTGAGATGAAGCAGTTACAGTGCATACAGTATCCCTTTAAGTGGATTTTTATTTCTTTACTTTCCTCTGCAAGATCTTTACTCTTTCATTTCTTCTGTCACTACATTTTTCCTTCACTCAGTCGTTACGATTTTAATTTCCTTTCCTCTGATGTGAAATCTTTGCTGTCATTGCCTCTTGTTATATTCCCTACCTAGTCCTTTTTTCCTGGACTATTTTCCTCAAAACACACATGGACTTCTGAGCACCTCATGCTTGCTATTTCCTCCTGTATGCTCGGTTCTATTATTTTACTGTTACCAGCCATTCCATGTACTGATGTGTTCTGCTGCTCACTCATTGTCATGCTGCATTTCCACCCATCTACATATCTTCATTACTGAGATATTTTGCCCTTTTATTTTTTTATTTTCTCATTTAGCCTTGTTTATTTTTCTTAACCCATGCAGTTAGGCTGCCTTCTCTGCAGAGCGTTCGCCATGGCTCGAAAGCTGTCACCCGTCACTGGAAAGCTATGCATTTTGAGAGGCAGAAGTTGATGGCAGTCACAGAATATATTTCTCCTAAGCCAGCAGTCCAAGAGGAATGTCTAACACCAAGGACCAAAGCTACTGAAAAAGAAGAGGTAATGATGCTGCCCAATGAAGCAGAGACAGTTGGCACCTGAAACATGGGTATATTTGAGCATGATGCTCTGTCAGGCATGGAGTTGTAGGTGCATGGCAAGTAGCCTAATAGATATATCAATGTGCAGGATTGTTGATAGGAATTAATGATTACTGTAAGTAATTGCCTGGATGAATGCAAGCTGTTTAGCAGCTAAACAGCTTGTGAACTGTACATGTAACTTGGAAATTATTTTATCACATTGATTTGTCTCATGGAAACCCACTGCCATTTTTTGCACATCTAGGTATTGTCAGACTCTATTTATACCACAATTTACCACAGCATCCGTGTGCCATAGCATTCACCATTGTGCTGTAAGCCACAATTACCATTCTTGTTAATCTGGTCCCTAAAATGTTTAATAATGTGCATTTTTATCAGGATAACCCACTGAAGCGCCTATTGGTCAGTCAGATGAACACAGTACTGCAAGAATGTAAGATGGTGGCTGTCTTCCAACGGAATTCCATTGGGTCAGAGGAATTGTTACTATTAAGGCATAAACTCCTGAAACATGGGATTCACATAAAGCATTTCCCCAATAAGGTAACACAAATGGAGAGGGGGAACATCAATTAAAAGGGTAGTGATCAGTGTATGTGTGATGCTGAGTAAATGTATTGGAACTGATTTATTTTACATTTTATTTTTCCTTGAGAAGTCATTGATTGCATAAATTGTAATGCATCTTTGTAACTTACTGTATGGATATATGTATTTTTTTCTGTTCCACTGTCTATCGACTCTATTGTTAATCTCTTTATATAAAAAAACAAAACATTTAAATGCAACAAAAAAAAACAAAAACTATAAGCACTAAATGCAACCAGCTGCATTAACACATTACAGAAATATAATACACTGAGCAGGATGTTGTACAGTATTTTACCCATGTACTGATATCTATTAAGTTACACATAGGAAAAGTGTTTTGTCGAGTTCACTGTTGTAATAATGTACAAAGGTGACCATTGTGTTAACAGGAAGCATTCCTTTGATTGGTCAGTATTATTTGAGTCCAAGTATGACACAATGCAACTCAAAATCTGGGTTGTAATGGAAAGTCAAAGAATGTCTGTACCCCAATACTCTATATTTTGTCCATTCTTTGTGTCTCCAGGTAGTAAAGACATCTCTGGCACAGTTCCATCTCCAATCCATGCAGCAACTGTTCCTAGGACAAACCTTCCTACTTGTGAGTCATGATGTGAAGGTGAAGGAAATGCTGCAGAGTGTCAGAAATGTTCCCCAGATTGTGCTACTAGGTAAATGCCAATGTAGGGTATATTATTACAAACCATGGCAAATTCATAATATTTGGATCCTAACGGATAAAAGAAACCGTGGAATAATCCTTTTTTTTTTTTTTTTCCATCTTTCTTCAGGTGCCTGCATTGAGAGCAGATTACTGAGCCGACAGGGAGTTCAGGCCTACGCCAAGCTGCCTACACTGGAATATCTTCAAAGTCAGGTTGTAGGAACGCTCACATTGATGGCATCACAGACCTCCTCTCTTCTCACGCAACATTCTACCCTACTCTGCGCTCAGTTGGAGCAGCATATTAAGGAACAAAGTGGCGGGTCGAAGAATTCTTAATAATTTCAAATGTTAATGTAAACAATGTAGGATGCTTGTAATAAAAATTACTATGAGTATAAAATATTTTATTCATGTATTTTCTGGGTACTATTAACAATACTAGTATACATGTCCAATATGCCTATGAACCAAGTGCACTGTATTGTGTACCTGTATCCATCAGTGGGGTACATTGTCACTAACTTCAATATCCTTGTTTTGTGGCCACAGTCTAAAAGGCAAAACGGTTCTCTTTTGCTATTGTCAATAGAAAAGTCTTTGTCTTTTGTTACTGGCTGAAAAAACCACAGTAAGTCATATCTGTGTCTCTGTCAGACATGTAAGGGGATCCGTCTGAGCTGTAAGGTGACAGACGCCGGCGTTTACTGTCTTCATATGCTGCATAGGTTGTGGGATCACCCCAGGGGCTGTGCTCCTCCTCCTTCCCTCGGGTCTCTAGCAGTGGGCGAAACCAAGTTAAATGTGTAGGATTAGGTTTAGGATGGTATTGTGTGTGTCCTGTCCATGGTGAGCCCAGTGTGTGATCAGAGTAATACCCCAGATGTGGCGGCTGTGGATAACACTTCATTGTATATGTTGTTGGCACCTTGCCTGTATGGTCATATGGTGTGTAGTCCAGGTGCTGGGTCATGCTCTGTGTAGACAGGTACCAGGGTGTTGACTCTTGTTCTACGGGATAAAACCGGTTGTGGTTCAGTGAGTCCGGTAAGAAATGTGGAAAGCGAACGGGTGGCGATGGGGTTAGGCGCTCTGTTATGGGTGGGAGAACTATCCTGCAAAAGAAGAAGAGCAGGATGTTTGCACCACATAAAACTGAAATATTCATATATGACTCTCCATGATTATAACACACGTATCAAACTTACATTCCATGGAAACTCTAGCCCATGCATTCACAGTCAACACACTTGCTGAAAATTTCCCTTGTGGTGCACAGTGTTGCAACTATGTGCTTAGTTTCATATTCCTAATGTTTTATGCCTATCTTTGGAAATTTGCAAACCACACTCACAAGCATTATCACAATTACATACTCCACTGAGTTTTGCCATGAGTCCATTCATAGACTCTCACTTATTTTTACTTTGCTGTGAATGTAAATTAAACAGTGTGCTCTATACAGCCCATACAATATCCATAACGGGGCACAATTCCTCATTCACTTGATTTTGTCCCTTTTTACACACAACCACTTTTGCAGATATTATAACCTGTATAATATCACTTTTCATACACGGATATCATCACCCCAAATCAAAATCGGCTCAGTTGATTCTCTCTCATATTAATCAGTCACTGTATCTCCCCCAACACCAGTAAACCACAAACTTACGTGTCACAGTGGTCACGAAATCCTTTTGCAAAAGGATTGTGATCAATTTTCAGCTGGGTGATCTGCACAAAGGAAAAATTGCATGATGTGAAATTGTTAAATGCCCATACTCATCAAGACAAAACTCAAGCTAGTCTGAATCAATTCCTAAATACAGAGCAGCCCTCATAGGAAGCACCAGAATGCTCAGAAACTTGCTCTAGATCTACCGCTTTGTCCCATAATTGGTTTTGACTTGATATCCAATAGGACTCTTTGTGAATCCATTCGTACCAACATGCATAGAGAAACATGAATTCTAGACAGGTATACAACATTAGAGGTTGGTACTTACATCTGCATTCTGATATGCAGTTACTGCAATGAACTGAGTTTCAGGAAAGGTGAAGATATGATTCTGATCTTCGCTGTTGCCAGAATCCTGTACTTGTTTTACATGAAGCCTTGGCTGGTATCTATGTAGAGACTGAAGAACCACCATCTGAAGAATTTAATGGAGATTCATGGTTTAGCTAGTGGATGGCATGGTTAATGCTGCATCTAATCAAACTATACTTGATAAATGATTGAAGATGTTGGGTTATGTGTTCTATACTCTTCCTCCTCAGCTGAGCTCAGAAGATACTGCTATGGTTAGCAGTCAGTGCTTTAGGGTTAAAATCCTAACCCTGGTGTAAGAGCTAGATTATTTACAATTCTGTTTAAGCCATTTTATTTTAGAGCACCCTGGAACAATCACAATGCTTAATGCAAATGTGACCATACACAGAACTTTAGACATGTATATAGCATTGCCGGTTGTAGTTAATTTTAGTTGGGTTTAAAATGGAATCAACGTTATGTTAGACTAAAATTTCTTCTAAAGTGGCTAACGATTTAAGTCACAAACTGACAAAATAGACTTATTTAACTTTCACATCTTTATCATTTAAAGGTTGGTTCAATGTTGCAAATTTTCTATAGAATAATACAAATATAACTTTTCCCCCCCCAAAAGTATATTTAAAGTACATTTAAACCCTAATAATTAGAAAAGCAAAGTGAGCAACAATGTGAAAAATTAGGGAGACTTCTAAAACTAAAATGACAGGGAAGTCTTCTAGTGTCCTAGGAACATGAAAAGAGACCTGCAAAAGTTAAGAGCAGAGCTCAAACTTTCCATCCTCCAACAGAAAATTCAAACCTGGCAACTATTAAGTCTAGCTAGGAGTGTAGGATTTGACATTCTGTGTATGGGTACAAAGAGTATTTTTCAAAAGTATTGAATCCCTATGGATTACTCTTTATAACCAACCGGCAGCCAAAGTAAGGACTATAAAGAGCAATATATAAGTGTAGAGGAAACAGGGATAGAGTTCTAATTAAATTAAACTATGCTAAGTGCATTAAACACTTGCAAATTAAATTGCCTATAATCAGGCAATATCACTAAATTCCCCTAGAGGGCAGTATGACCTCTCACTAAATGGTAACAGGGGAGGATGAAGCAGAATAAGACAGCAATACAAAAAGTGAGGACACTGCAACCTCTTATAAAGTGCAGATGAGGGAAAGAAATAGAATTGGAGGAAGAGGGATTGCTCTTAAAAAGTAATTTACTCCTCTAAATGTGTTACTTCTAGCTACAGACCCCAAACCCTTGGAATAAAAACATAATTGAACTCACATAATCACCATAAACCTTGCAAAAGTAGAGAGAGCCTTTTAATTAATTATGGTTAAGACTCCTTAGAGACCTCATCATTGGTGGTTTAATTAATGATGGCTTAATGCACCCGGTATAATTTATTTGTATTGGCACTCTATTCCTAATACTTCATGTATACTTTTATACTGTCCTATATGGCCCTTACTTTGGCTGTCAGTCTGTTATAAAGAGTAATCCCTATGTACTCAGTGCTTTTGATACATCAGTATACTTTTATATTTACCCTCTCATGTGTTGCAGGACTTAGGCAACAGTAAGCTTTTTTCATATTATATTTTTCAGATTTCCATTTTTAGAAATTCTATTATTTTTAGCTGTATATTTTCTTGTTTTTTAAATCCTTGCTTTGTAATAGGAATAATTTGATATAACCCTTTTCTCAATATACTAAAGATTTTTAAAATGTTCAGAGGAGCATACATTGCATGGTAATTTTTCACATGTTTAATGTTTGTGGTACATTTTATTAAAGATGCCCAAAGTGAAAAAAAAAAATCTTGGCATGATGTGCATTTTACAATTGTCCCCAAAGGAAGGGGGTACAGACAAACGAGGAAGACTTTTAATAGATAACAGAGAGCAAGCTGTTCATGTACAAATTATTTTGTTTGATTTCGCTTGTGAACTAATGATTTAGCACCAAGGTTCCACAAACGCACTGCGGGAGACAGCTAGCCTTCTTCTGTACACTGCACGTTCCACGGCCAGCATCTGTCCAGTGACCTTATTGGCTGGCTACCTTTATTCAAAGTAGGGTTCATGGTATTGTGGTTGCAAAACGATTAAAGGTGGTGGGGAGGTTGTTGTCAAAATTGTGTTAAAAAAAATAATCGCACTGAAAGTATTTTTGCCCCATTGGCTTTTAAAATCGATCACAAACACCAAATGTGAGACAGGTTCAACTTGTTCTGGATTGGATTATTATTGCCACAACCACATCATCAGTAGGGTTGAGAAACATTTTATGCTCTATTGATTCGAGTTTAGTTTGCATGTCAGGGTCACTCATAAGGGGAGCTGTCACATGGATTTTTAATATGTTTAATAACTTTAAAAAAATATATATGAAAATTCAGTAAAATGTAGAGAATATTATTTCCACTGCCTTGGAGCTTAGTGCCTCCATCTTGGTTTTTCTATGGCTGAAATAGTTTGAGCTGGATTGGGTTGCCATTTGCTGAATATTTGATATATATTTAAAAGGGAACTTCTCTGGAAAGGACACAATTGAATAGATGGCTCAAATGTTTTGCTGACTAGCTTCTCATCTAACCTATATAGGTATTGCAATGAAAACCATTGCTACAAGCATTTTGGACACTTCTCAAAAACGACACTTTATTGGACCGATTTCAATCCAGATTATGAATCACTTTAGATGGATTAAAAGTATTGGAAATAAGCAGCCAATCAGGAACAAGGTCAAGTGCAAGGTAGGAAATATGTTCTCCAGACAAGAAACAGGTAATCACAGTGTAAATGTGTTATTATAAACTAGAAATTTTAGAAAATATTTACCCTTATTGTGGGTATTATGCTGTTATTAGTATTGCATGTTTTTATTGATATTTGTTTAATATATCCATTTTAACCACAAGCAGGATGTAGCTGTAAAACACAACAGGAAGTAAATGTGCACAATTAGTGTGTTCCTTCATTGGTCAGGAAAAAAAAAAAAAAAGCATAAATGCGATTTTAACTAGACTGTTTGGGGTAGCGGAATACTTGCAGAAAACTTGTCACTTATGGGATCTCTGCATTTTCTTTGCATTTTTGTTCTACAAGAGATATATCATCTTTGCTATTCTAAAAAATGATGGTCTATGGAAGTTCTGAGAGACTGCAAGATCCTCCATGCATCATGTACCAACAGATGCTATCATCATTTTCTGATGTTAATGGAATGTGTATGGCCCTTTAGTTATAAATAGGAGGGCTAGGTTTGGTGGCTGATAATTGTATTGTACATAACGATTCCCTTTAAAATAGTTGTTGCTAAAAAGTTGGAAGAAAAAAAGTTTGCATTGTAGCTGTACTATAATATTGGTGCATTAAAACACTGTGGTACCATTAGAGCGATGTTTATAATGATGGATATCATTATAGTACTTGGCGGTAACTTTGTCTATCTGAAAATCATGGGAGTTTAGTCCACAGAATCTTGAAGTCAGATACATTCTAATCCCAAGTCACCTAAACCCTAACTACCCCTCATATTAAGGGCTGCTATAGTGCCAGGAATACAAAGCTGTATTCCTGAGACTATCGCTCCCCCAGCCTTGCACTCCTCCCCTCCCCAGTAAATAAAGGTATTTACTTACCTGATCCCAGCGCCGATGTCACTTGGCACTTTGTCGAAGCACTCCTCCTCTGTCTCGTGACAAGCGGGCTCTAATGCGCATGCGCGGCAATTGCCATGTGTGCATTAGACTTCCCCATAGGGAAGCATTGAATCAATGCTTTCCTATGGGGAAAAAATCTGACACTGGAGGTCCTCATGCATCACTAAGGGCAATAGGGACACTGTACCCAGACCACTTCAATTAGCTTGTGGTCTGGGTGCCTACAGTGCCCCTTTAAAGACACTTTAACCATCCCCCATAATAAAGGAACACGTCAAGCACTATAATCAACAAAGCTTACTGTAGTGGTTATTGTGCTAAGACGCTGGATGATGTCCTTTTTGTTGTTGTCAAACTATTTTCAAAAGGAAGGTCCAATCCCCTTCATAATAAGGTAGCTCAGTTCCTCATTATCCTTCCAAATAGTTTGGCGTTTGCATACTTGATGACCATAAATAACCTGAGGGGCTGCACCCACAGCCTCTTGGCACCAAAATAATGTGCTTTAGTAGTTATTGTGCATGAAATGTTCCTTAACGGCAGGGAAATGCTGCTGTGTTATTATGAACCCAGAGACTTTATTGTGTTGCTATAGTGATGCTGACATTTAAAACTCACCATTTCAATTCTGATGTTTTAAATGTGCACACAAAATTCACGTTGGGATTGTGCAGGTGTGAGTAGAAATTGGAATGATTATTACATTTGAATAATCACAAACAAAAAGAATGAGGTTTGTTTACTATTAAGTACTTCAAATATCACGAAAGCTCAATGCGATACTTCACATTATGATGATGTTGCACTAAATAAACTGATGTGTGTGTATGAGAGGAATTTATGTGGTGACTATGCTACATAGACAACCGGTTATTGTAGAACCTCAACTTTAAGGCTTTGCTATCCTTAAAAGGACACACTGGTCACCAAAACAACATGCATTTGACAGGATTTAACCTCATGTTCACAATGTATTTTTCTTCACATTCAAAACTCTTTACTTTTGCCTCTTTGGCCACACCTCATAATTTCACGAAGCAACTTCTTCATTAGACATTCTATGTATATATTTTGCTTGACCAATGAGAGATCAGTGTGAGACGAGTTCCTGATTATGCTGCAAAACATATTTATTATTTCTGCACATCTATAAAGATTTAAATGAGGAGAAAAGTACAGTATTAATATGAGGCCAAAACCTATAAAACTTACTTGAGTTGAGTAGGGGCCTTTTGTGAACTTTTAAGGCATGCAGTGCGAGAGTTGCACTGAAGATCTACTTTTTGGTCATACCTGATATATTGAGGATGCAGTTATTTATACAAAATTTGTATCCAAAATGAGCTTTGGCGAGTCATAAACTTTACGCTTAAATATCTCTTAAACAATATGTTTGCTGAGATTTTGTCCAACACAGTGATTTTTTTTTTTCTGTTTTAAGAAAACCAAATAAAAACTTTTGCTCATCTGTTAACGGGACAGCTTCATTATAACAACAGCATAATTTATTAGAATCTCTATTAGAATCTCTACATCAATTACCAATGCAGCAAGTTATGATCTCATGGCATGATATTAAAACTTTGCGTCAATGGCATACTTGTAAGGATTATTTTGGAAGGACATTTTTTTTTCTTTCTTTCTTTTCTTTCTTTCTTTAAACTTTGAAGTGGTTAAATGTTTTTACCATAGATATATAAAACTTAAATTTGCTAGATTATCTATGTCTGCCATGCCACTATTGGTCTCATGCCTTACATTTGCAGTTTTATTTACAGTTCACTGGTTCACAATTAAGTTAAAAACCATCCTAAGGCCGTATATAACCTTTGAGTGTCCAGTGGATTTTAACCTGCAGCATTCCTGGGATACATCAGAGACTCCTAATAGAATTAACCTGATCCCTTTTTTTTGTTGCTATCCATCGATCCCATTATTCTCATCCAGCACCTGCCTGCCTGGCTCGAGATGATGTTAGTTACAAAAGAAAACATTGTCTAACATGGTTATATTTTCTGTAGCTTGCAAACACTGTATAGTTTGTATCAACTAATTGATGCATATAATCTCTGTGCATTCCAATTTAAACATTCTCTTTCAGTTTGAGTCACTGCTAGTTATTTCCCTGTCACAGGGACTCCTTTAATGCCTTAACCCCTTAAGGACCAAACTTCTGGAATAAAAGGGAATCATGACATGTCACACATGTTATGTGTCCTTAAGGGGTTAATATGCAGTATCAGTTGGTTTTAAATTAGTAAATAAAAAAAGTTGAAAATGATTAGTTGTCATTGGTACCTGTGTCATGTTATTAGATGCCCCTTTGTTGTTGGTTAGCTTGAGTTTGCTGAATGTTACCTCCTGGCGCATCCAATGAGCCCCCGTGTTTGGGGAATCAGGGTGTTGGTATCTCCTGTTACCTGATTGGGAATGATGAAATAGTTGGTGAGAGGCCATTCAGGCACTATATGTGTAATTACCATACTGTCCGTTTAAATAGAGATTCATATTGCAGATGTTTTCTATAGAATAATAATCTTTTTAATAGAGGCCTACAACATCATTGTCGGGTACATAGTTATTCTCACTCGCAGGCACCATAAATTTGTGGGGTGCAATGTCTGAAGTGAGAGTGAGATAAGTATGTAACTGAAAAGTGTGGTGAGTGTAAACATAAAATTAGAAGACGATGCAGTACAGTAAGTGGCAATGTATGAATGTATGACAGGGACCTTATTGCAGCAAGAGACAGTGTCTGAAATGGATGGCCCTTTCATACAGTAAGTAGCAGTGTCTAAATTGGAAGGTGCGTTGGTACTTCATTAAGTGGCTACATAGGAAGACATTGTCTGATCAGTAAGTGGTGGTGTATAAATTGGAAAGTGCTTTAATATAGTAATTGGCAGTGTATGAGCCAGGGGGTACTTTAGTACACTAAGAGGTGTTTCAGTACAGTAAATGGTAATATCTTAATAGTAAGGCAGTTTAGTACAGTAAGAGGTAGTAACTTAGTAGGTAGGTGCTTTAGTAAAGAAAGTGCGGTAAATTGCAGTGTCTGAAACTGAAGGAGCTTTAGTGCAGTATGCGGCAGTAGCTGAATTAGAAGACATTTTAACAGTATCTAGAAAAAAAGTGAACTTTAATTCAATAAATCACAGTTTCTGTAGTACAGTACGTGGTAGTGTCTGAACCGAAAGGCTTGTTAGTACAGTGAAGTAGAGTATCAAAATTAGAATGGTGTTTAGCGCATTAGGTTGTACTATCTGAATTAGAAAGGAGTTTAGTTCATTGAGAAGTAGTGTCTGAATTAGAAAGGTATTTATTGCATTATACAGTTTGGTCTAATTAGGTGGTTTAGTTCATTGTGCGACAATGACTGAATCAGAAGTTGAGTATATGCAGCGACAGGTAGTGTCTGCTTTGTGTATTCAGTTATAAAGCCTGTTTTTAGAAAAATTTTATGAGACCTATCATTTTATGGTTAAAACACTCACTGATTCATTTAAATAAAAATGTTACGGAAATATTATTTATAGTACATTTTCATCTGACAAAATAGCAAACTTCTAAAGAAGATTATAAAACATGAGGTAAAACTGCACCTTTGATGAAACAGGCAGTAAAGTAGATTACTTTAAATTATGTCAATATCAACATAATGATAATGCCTGATCACGTGGCTTTAGTTTCATCATTTAGTTTTGTTTTCACACAAAGTTGTCTGCATGGTCTTATATTTCTTTATTTTATCAGTTAATACTACTAGGAATTTGAGGACTTTTTGTTAAGTGAATTTTTTGATTATTTGATAAATATGACCATAGGTGTAAAGAATTTAAAATTTTCCCTCACACTTATATTAATGCCCAAAAAAGACTGAAAATGAAATCAGGAAATTTAGATATATTAGCAAAAAATTTACCTCATGAATCACATAGCAATGCATTAAATAGCATACAGTCTTGCTTGTAATTCCTTATTTTGTGGTTAACATATTATTCCTTATTTTGTGGTTAACATATTTTACTATAACTGCTTTTTAAAAACATTGAAAAACTGCTCCTTTTTCCACCACTTTTTATTAAGTATTTCTCCCCCAAAAATGTTTATAATTTATTAATTCCCCCTATATTCCTCCCTCAATATTTTTTTATACTTTGACATCCTTATATTTCTCCACTAATTTTGTATATACTATGTGAGTTTCCCTGCATCCACCCTTGATTTTACTATATTTCTCCCCTAATCTTGTTTACAATTTGAGAGCCCCATATTTCTCCCCTAATCTTGTTTACATTTTGACTGCCCCGTATTTCTCCCCTATTTTTGTTCACACTTTGACTGCCCTTTGTTCTCCCATAATCGTATTTACAGATTGACTTCCTGTGTTTCTCCACAATATTATTTATGCGTTATGATTTCTCTCTCTTGCTTCCTTTAGCGTTGCCAAGCGGATGTACCTGGCATGTTGCCCTCTGCCTTCCCACACTGGATCCACTTTCCTCCTTGGTATCTCCAGTGGTTCTGATCTGCCAGGACAACCTCTATATGTAAGGTATACTGAGCCACAGGATCCAGGCCTGACAAGCGGAAACTCAGGAATGGAAACATGCGCCTAGGAGGCAAAATAAAAATCGTATAGTGTATTATTTAGCAATACTGTTACAAACATGTGATGAATAGCTTGGATGGCCTTTTAGCCATCTAATATGTATTCATGCATCCATCCATTCAAATACCATCATGGTTATTAACTAAACCAGGGATATAATAGAGAATTTGAAATGTTAGGCCAAAAAAATCTGAAAGGCCAAATTTCTTTTTATTTCAGCTTTTTTAAATTCTCAGTTTTTTTCCCCCACTTTAGTGAATGTTGCAGATTGTGCTAAGTATTATGTTAAAAAATACAATGACTATGGACCCTGAGGAATGTAAACCACTAATGGATAAAAACTAAATAAATAGATAAATAGTATGTACATACATGTGTGTGTATATAATCATCTAGATATAGATAGATAGGTGATATATATATATATACCTATATATTTGTGTATGCTGTCCTGAGGAAAGTCCCGATCGGGGACTGAAACATTAACTACAACTACTATATATATATATATAGATACACACACACATACATACATGTACACAGACACACATACACAATATAATATTAGGCCTAAATGTTAATACGTGTGTCAAAAATGCAATAAGTGAACGCCACTCTCAAGTCTTTTTTTGTAGTGGAAAATCTGACTAAAGGTGGTGTCCATCTATTGCATCAGTGTTTCCATACAATTCTGTTGACCAGTTTTAAACATTTGATATCTTAAGTACAAATTGCCGTTAATCGTGTATTTTGTATACTTTATATGAAAATATTAATGTGAGTATAGTCAAAGTCCTAATGAGCTTAACAAGAATGCACTTATTAAAAAAAATGTAGGTGAAAATATGTTAAATAGATCCTCCGTAAGATTAATTGAAGATATACTATATTTTATAATATATATATATATATACCCACACACACAAATACGTACACACACACATTAGATATATTATACATACACATACATCTGCGCATATCGACATAGCTACATATCTGTAGATTAATGCTGATATAAATCTATAAATTGATTCTTAATTCCATACGTAGAGCCAGCAAATTCCTACAGCCACACAAAGTAGTATTTTCCCAAGGGGGTTATATATTAAATAGATTGCATAAATCTAAAAATGTTCAAATAGTTGGGATGATATTAAAAAGTGACACGCTCCTCGTTGGTTAAAATATGTTGTCATGCCCTTTGTTAAAATATGTTGTCATGCCCTTTTTATTGCTAGAAAATGGGTAATTTATCACATTATATTACTGTATATTGACTCGCCTCTCATTTTATCTCCTCTACAGTCTCCAGTAGTTAAATGTTTTGATGTAACTTTGTGTCATTGATCTGTTCTGTCTAGTGCCTTGCTAGCTATTTTTCTGCATGTGCGTTTTACCACATTACCGTGTTATTTTGAGAACGTGGTCTCATATACATGAATGGTATTAATTTCACTAGCAAGAAAATGCTGGCAACTTGGGTTGAAATATGCATAATTGTTACATAGGTACACATGCTGAAAAGAGACATGTGTCCATCAAATTCAGCCTTTCTCACATCTGTTTTTGCTGCTGATCCAAAAGAATGTACAAAAGTCAGTTTGAAGCACTTTCAATTTTGCAACAAACTAGGAAAACAATTATGGCAGTGAGATCTCTCCTTGGATCAAGGGTCATTTTCTTATCAAAGTGCCGACATAATGCACAGTGTGCTATTGTGATTTACAGAAGGATGACTTGTTATGAATGTGCGTCAACATTTAAACAGTTTATGTCAGTGTGAAGTTATGTATCTGACACTCACCTCCCTTGTTTGGTGATGATCATCTCTGTTTGGTGCTTATAAAATTTTTCCCACAGCGTGTAGTTGGTGAGATTCACCTGCACTTTTCCAGAGGTTTGGCACAGTTGGTTGGAGGTAGGGTTGGATAAAGCCTGCTGTACAGGTAAAGGGTACGTTAACTCGCCACTGTCTTTTGGGTAATTTTCCATCGGTTCAGCAGGGGAGTAATCCTGGCTGTATGAGCAGTTGGCATGGGGCAATATACGGACCCCTTGGGTGCAGAAGTTGAGGGATACAGTATCCGTATTCTGTTGCTCTCCAGGCAAGTTCCGCACATCTGCTCCACTTTGCAGATCTTCTGTGCTCTGAATCTCAACTGCCCTATGTAAATGTACAGTCCTTTGCACATCTGTTCTGGTCTTCATCTCTGTGTCATCCTGCAGTTCTGTTGTGCTCTGCATGTCTTCTTTGCTCTGCAGCCCTGTTCTCTCATGCATCCCTAAGATAGTTTGTAGTCCAGGGCTTTGCATTCTCTCCATACTCTGCATCCTCAATGTGCTCTGCAGGTCTTCTGTGTTCTGCATGTAGTGCTCTGCAGAAATGCTCTGCATGCGAGTTCCTCTCTGCATCCTGAAGGTGCTCTGCATGTAATTTTTCGCTGCACCCATGGAAGAAGCTCAGATCTGCCCCTTCGGTATTACTGTCACTGTAGTACCAGGTGGGTGTCACACAAGGGTCATGTGGGGGGCAGCCCTTTCTCCACCTCTGCACCTGTCACTCTCGCCCCATCACTCTGACACCTGTCAGTCATTTGCCATGTCAATGCTAGCTCTAAGCATTGTGCTGTGCTCACTGTGTCCTAGTGTTCTGTCTCTCAATCTCACAGTTACACTTTTTTCTACTGATTACTTACTCTAACCCTATATCCTCCTCATTTGCTCAGCTTGTCATGTGTCTAATTTTAGTCATTATACACTCATTTCTGTTTCAATCAGTTTGTACCTCTGTCTCTTTCTAGCAGTCCCCATCACTTTGTGTCTTTTTCATTCTGCATCTGTCTCTTTCTGATCTGAACCTGTCTTTCATGCTCTAATACACTCCTCTCACAGTGTCTCTCTGATTTACTTCTAAGTTGTCTGAGCCTGAGACTCTGTGTGTCAGTCTATCACCTTGTATCCGAGCAAACTTTGCTTTTCTCTGATTGGCTCACTGTGTCACACTCTCTGTACCACCTAGTACGAGCTGTAAAGTGAACGTGTTTTAAAGAAAAGCACGGGGGCACTGAGTTTCTCAATCTTTTACAAAATGCACAAATTGATGGAAGAATATACGGAAACATATATATATCACCCAAACTGGCATTTAGGCAAATCACACATAGCTGCCCACTGAACTGTCAATATATATGCTAATGCTTACCTATTGTACACATATAACTCTGTTATGTCTTACAATTATGCACTCTTATGGGACGCAGTGTTGTACAGTACTGTGCGTACATTGGAAAGTGTGTGTATGTTTGTTGTGCAGTGCGCTCTGTGTGGCTTGCAACATGTGCAGGAAATAACTTCTCATGTTACTAACAGCTCTAAGAATCTGCCGGTAACATGATGAGGGACAGACCCAACCAGTCTTTATATATAAATATATATCTGCTTTTCATTTATATATATTTATAGTGCATTTAGGATTTAAATCAATATATATATATATGTATATATATATTTTTTTTTCATTTGGAATATTTAACATGTTTTCACATAAATATACACTTAATACGCCATAATGACAAAGCAAAAAAATAAAATGTTTATTCCTATTCAAATGTTTTTATTTAATTTTACACATTAAAATAATTGTACATGGGGGGGCGGGGCCGACTGCAATAGAAACAGGACGTGTTTTGTGAGAGTTCCTCTTGTAACTACAAGTAGTGATGTCCCCAACGGTTCGCCGAACGGTTTGCCGCGGACGGCGAACATAAACATAAACTTTGACCCTGTACCTCACAGTCAGCAGACACATTCCAGCCAATCAGCAGCAGACCCTCCCTCCCAGACCCCCCCACCTTCTGGACAGCATCCATTTTACATTTATTGTGAAGCTGCATTCTTAGTGAGCTGTCCAGGATGTGGGAGGGTCTGGGAGGGAGGGTCTGCTGCTGATCGGCTGGAATGTGTCTGCTGACTGTGAGGTACAGGGTCAAAGTTTATGTTTATGTTCGCCGTCCGCGCGAACCGTTCGGGACATCACTAACTACAAGTAATACTTGTCAAACTGCTCTCTAAGCCCACAATCTCGGACAGGCACTATTAGTCTGGACCCCCGAACCGACTGACTGACCTGAGAGCGTCCCTTGCGATCCTTGGCAGCTGATGGTCAATATTCTCTGTGCGGCCTAGAAAGTGCGGTGAAAGGGAGAGGCGGTCTCCCGATCCTACACAGACCTTGACCGGTGGGGGTGATCCCGGTCCCCACCCTGGAGGCTCCCCGGCCGTCTTAGAGATGGACAGTAACACTGCAGACATTGGCTACCCTGCACCCAGTGTGCCAAAGATGACAGATGCCACATGTCCCCCTGCACAAATTGGAGAAATGTCCCTCATCCTTGAATGCCTGGATGCAACAATTCATGCTTTCTGTCAGAAACTGGCCTCAAGACTGAACTTACCTGCTCCACAAGCTGACCAAGAAGTGGTGAGTCCTCCCTGCTGCATCCCACAACGATCGGTGAAGCCCACAATTGGCACTGTAAGCCGGAGATGGTGGACACCACATCGGCACTCCAAGAGGAAGGTGGAGTCCAAACCTGCATCGGTGCTACACATATGACAGGCAAGCCTGGGGAAACCACGGTGGGATGAGGTGCGGAGGGGAAGCTCCCTGATATTGCTGGGCTTACAGCCAACCTCTGTCACACTGGGCCTGCAGACCAGTGCCATCTGGGGAGGTTGCAATGTGCCCTTGAAGGGCATAGGATGAACGGAGTGCTGAACTTCTCGATGCATCTTCCCTCTGGGGTGGAACACTCATGCTTATATGTTTTGTCATTTACTAGTTAATTAAGCATGTTCAATACTAAATATGCTGAGCTCTTACTCTCAATGTCCAGAATAGCTAATACTATACTGTGTCATGATATTCCTTTGCCTCTAGACATATTTGTTTAGCGTGTCATTAAGTGTTCTTGCATAGCAAGACCACTTAATATTATCTCACATATATATTATTTCTTATTGTAGCCAAATTTACCACCCTAACTCCTCCCACAGTTTTTACACTACATAGACAGTAATATACCGAAATGCGCGGATTGTTCCCGATTGGTGTGCTATTACTTTGTGGAACGTTTTTGTGGCGAAATTGGTCCCATAGGAATGAATGGGAACATGTTCAAAACTAGAGTGGGAGCTGGCAAAAGCTGAAAAATCAGGACATGATTTCTAAACTGCCACCACTCCCTCATTTTCAAGCCCACCTATACAAATCTTATAGCAAAACATTCAGCTATCCCTGCTGCCACTAAACATGGCTAAGCCATAGTCCTGATAGTTTTCACAATATGACCATTTGTTTGCAACTCACATGTTGGTGGAATGTTCGAGGGATTTTAAAGATTTGAATGCTCTTCTCTGCCTTTGCTGTAGAGTGAGTGAACCACACTCCAACCTTTCCACAGTTACTCCAGCCACTCCAGCCACACAACAGTTACTCAAGCCACTCCAACCAGTTACTCCGCCCACTCCAGTTGTAGACTACTGGTGGAGGCATGAACACTTCACACAATTTTCCCAGAAATTGTGCTTTTCTAGTTTATATAAAAAGTGCAGAACCTCCAATGTTTCATGTTATACAAAATCTCAACCTATTGTACATGCTCATGTAAATCATTCATATAAGCCTGTAAGTTTATTCATGCACTACAAAAACAAAGAATATAAAAAAAATTATTTGTACATATTGATAGTAACAAGTAGTGTAACGGACCGTTTTGCACACCAGGGGTAAAAACTGTTTAGGCGATCATCCCCCTTTCCAGAGATGCAGGCACAGCTACTGCAGGACACCAAACTCCCGAACAGGATACCAAGTAGCACTCCAAATTTCCGAACTGGAACCTCACGAATAGCTGCTAGCAGCTGAAAAGGAAAAGCACCCAAGCAGCTTACAGTCCTGGCAATCAGTCTCTAACAGCATAATCCCCCCAAGAACGAGACAAAGCTCTGTGTTGAGGGTCAAGCAGTGAACAGCCAGAGCTGTGGGTTTATTGTGCTTATGTACACATTCTTACACATTAGTACCACCCACAGGGTTTTGGAACACAACCAATAAACACATACAATACACTCAGACACTCCCACACAAATTCCTCCCCTCTGCATGTGATTCAATTACCTTACACAATGGGTAATGTAATTAAGCACAAGCAGAGAAATACAATTTTTCCACATTATTCATAACTTGAAAAGTATGCATCACATTCACATAAAACATTTTCAGAATCAGCATACTCCAAATACAAACATACGTCAAAATCATACAAATTGTCCAGTGGTTCAAAAGATAGATCGTAGTCCTTTGTGACCACAGGAGGCATGGCTTTTCTGCCCAAAACCAGTTCCACAGAGTCTTCTATCCTGGAGATAATTAGAAGTAATCCAATTATCTCCAAAGACAGAGGCAAAACTCCATTGAACACATGGCAGCAAAAAAGACAGTAAAATACAAAATACACAATGTTACATTTATGACATAAAATACAGACATGCAACATATGCCCAGATAGCTTAGGTCTGAGCGCACATTAATACTGAATGGCGCTCAGACCACACACATACAGTTCAATTGCCATGGAGCCAAAGTCTTTCCCATAGTCTTTCATTATATGAATGGGCTCCATGGCATAGCTATCTGGGGTATCACTGCTCAAACAGGGCAAGCACCAAATGACCCGGCTTTCTTGTCTTTGCAGGGGAAAAATCAAGCCTTTTAACATGGGGCCATAATCCAAAGGCAACAGGCGAGCAACCAGGCTTCTCCAATGCAATGTGGCGAGATTGCTCTCGTCACAAGTAGTATAAGTGTAGAAGGTAACAATTACAACAATGTTAATACAATAAAAATGAAAAATAAAAACTAACAAAGAAAACAAATGTGGGTATAATAGTTTACATCCATGTAGTTACTAATATATATATATATATATATATATATATATATATAAAAAGGGAAAGTACAAGTATGTCAGATATGTTTTGTATAATTATGTTTTTAAATTATATTATGCATGATAATTATTATAAGAAAATAAAATATTTTATTTTGTAAAGTGGGAAACATGGTCAAAGTTTGTACTGAAGCTTAATTTTATCTTCCTAAGTTATCCATTCTTGTTTTAGAGTAGACGTTTTTTCAGGCGGGGTGCAAAGCGCTTGTTCATAAAGTCTGTTATCAAAAATCGTTACGAGAACTTAATTCACCGATGGTGTAACAGGTGATTTTATTAAAGACACGGAGGCTCCTATTATGCATTCTCTTTCTTTATTATACTCCCAGCAGCAAGAAAAAAGGGAAGTATGAGAGAATCATAGAAAAAAGAAACCATAACAGTAGCCTGGTAACAGTAGCACCAATCAGCATACAGTATAATCCATATAGGTGTAGTGCTCCTTGACTCCTCCTCTTTCTTGCTGCTCCCTCAGACAAGTTAAGTACCTCACCTTGCTACTCTTGTGAATTTTTATACATTTATTTGTATTTAATTCCTACACATTAATTGGATAATTATTAGATTGTGCTATATTACATGTTATTGTTATATCATTATTATTTACTTCTGTTGTATACCCTTCTGGTGTTAGGAGAGTGCTTCCTATCTGCTTCAGGGGAGTGATTTCTCCCTGCCCTCACCTATTGGTTTTCCCTGTTTGGTGACTGGGGCTACTTATCTGGCTTCTGGTGCTTGGCTTTGCACCTCCGGTTTATGCCCGCGGTCTTTCCGTTGAATGCTCTTCTCTGCCTTTGCTGTAGAGTGAGTGAACCACACTCTGTTTTGCGGGCGGCCGCGCATGCGCGGCCATTGAATTTCATTTTCCCCTTGCGGCCCTGTCGCGCATGCGCAGTTGGTAGCGCGGTGGCCATCTTTTTGGTTTATGTCGCCGGGAGTGTAACTTACACTCGCGGCGGCCATTTTAAATGCGGTTTCAGCGGGAATCTGCTGAGTACAAGCTTCTACCGGCTTCTCCTACCTGCCTAAGCACTCTCCTAGGACCCAGACTGGGCTATAATTGCAGTTTATTTTCTGTATTATTTCTACCAAACTGTAAGTGTGGTGTGGAAGATTAATCTATCCTGACACCCTTTTTTTCTTTGCTGATTTTCCTAAGCTAATTTCCTTTACAGGCTACAACACTCTGCTAGTAATATTGGCTAGATACCAAGTGTATAGTGGATTTTACTGGGCCCAATATTTCCACTAGTTGAACTAGGGTATATATATTCCCTGTAAAGATTTTATCTGCTATGCAGGATCAGAGTGACAGACCTTCAGGGTCTACGTGCCCCACATCAGGCGTTTCCCCCTCTAACAAGGGAGGTAAAAGTGACGCCAGCCTCATGGCATCTGAGGAGTTTCAATCCCTCCTGGACGCTACCATGGCACAATCCATTAACAGAGCATTAAACCTCTGCGATGGGGGTCATGTCGTCCTCTATCACTCAGTCTATAACAGAGGCATTGATACAGACACAGACTAGTGGCATGCAGAACACACGCAACCCGGTACCCACTAACGTGGCTCAACCGGGACGTAAGGCGTTGGTAAAGAGCAGACATGTGACCTCCCCTCCAGAACTGCAGGTTCAGCCTGCATCGAATGACACGCCTCAGGCTGTCAAAGATGGCGCGATACCACCGCGCACTAGAGCCCCTGGCCGGGCAAAATTGGCCAGAACTTGGAAACGGGCACGTGCCCATGGGGATTCGTCTGATTCGGACCGGAGTGTGGAGGAGGAGTATGAGGACTCCTATATGGATCATTACAGCGCGGAATTTTCGGATTCCGGGTCTGACATCCAAACAGGCGTTGCTACCCAAAAGTGTATGACTCAGGGCACTGCGCCTCCTGACTCTGGCGAGGGCGACCATTTGCGGGACCCACTGGGTAACCCGTTATTTGACCCAGATGACCTTCGTCATCCTCGCTTGGCGGCATGGGAGCCGCCTACTCACATCGCTAAGTATCTCGCACTTTGGGTGCGAAAGCCTTTATCTAAGGAGGGGCGCAATAAGTTACGGGCAGAATGCCCACGACCCATCCTCCCAGACTCGGTGGAAAAGACACTGGACGTGGACTCTCAGTTGGTCCAATTCTTGAACAAGTCTGGTTGGAAGCCAAGGAAGGGATTAGATTTTTCCCTCAGGAATTGCCAAGATAAATTCCTTGATACTTTGGGACCCATAACTAAACTATATGCGCTAGTGGAGTCCGCCCAATCGGGCGAAAGCGAATTTGATTTCGAAGTAGCGATAGGCTGGTTGCAGAGATTAGTCTGCATGGTAGGTAACGCCAATGCGGCTATGCGAACGCCGCAAGGAGATTCTCCTAAAAATAGAGCCCAAACTGACCAGCATGGCGACCAACGAGCCGGGCCCAGCGCTAAAGGCTTATTATTTGGTGAATCCTTTATTAAGGATCTTGGGCTGTACGTTAAGACGTTTACGGCAATTGATAAGGCTCAGACATCTCTTAAGAGAGTATTTGTACCACGGGTTTTTGGAGGGGCCGGCAGAGGAAGGAGCCGTCTACCCGGCCGTGGATTTCGAGGCTCAACTAGAGCCGGCAGAGGCTCCTTTAATAGCCAGAGACCAGTACCAGAGAGACACTATACCCCTTTCTTCCCATCTCGGGAACGGCCCTGGAGTTCCCGTGGACCACGGGG